CCCCCCGCCCACCTCCCTAGCCTCCAGGAAGGGGCACAGTCCTGCTGACTGACACCTGATATTAGTCCAACGAGGCATGCGTCACACTGCTGACGTACGGGACTACAAAATAATCGATTTGTGTTATGTAAGCTTCTAAATGTGCGCTGATTTGCTGTGGCAGCAACAGAGAACTAATGCAGAAAAGCCTGAGGGGAACGAATTCAGGAGAGAAACTGTGCTTCTGAGGAGCTTTGACGGGAGCACAGAAATGCTAAGGAACCTGGAGGGTTCACAGGAGAATCTTCTTTCTAGGAGCAATTACGGCTTGGTTATAGGTTGATGAGAATGGTCCAGGGGAAGTGAAAATGGACGATGACCCCAGAGAGGAAATAACCATCGGTTGATGGCTTTGAATGGCAGCGCGAAACACTCTGGAAGCAGGAGAGGAAGCCAGCTGCGTGAGGACAGGGGATTCTGCGTTGGTCGGCGACGTCTCTCCTGTGTTAGCATCTATCTTCTCTATAAAATAGGAACCGAGGCCTTTGGTGGAGAGAGGGGAAAGGAGAGAATGGCTGGAGGTTTAAAAAAAGAGAAGGTGTGAAATAACTGCATGAAACACAAGGGTTTAGAGGTTTAAGAAATTCTTTACAGTTTGGGATTATCCACCTCTCGACTTCAAAACAAAGAAAAAAATTCTAAAAACATGTCTAGCACCATGTGGCACCAATCCTCTTCAAACTCGACGTAGGAAGGACTATAAAGAGTATGATGAGAAAACGCTAGGACACACACAATGAAATCTCTGGCTAATCCTCCTTTCCCAGTTGAAAGTGAGCACTTCATTTGGTATCGCGATTGAGCAGAAGGAATAATCTAGCAGATGACAGTGCTATTACATCAAACTTTTACATTTTGACTGATAATATTTTCCATCTACATCCCAGACATTCATTCTGTGAAAACGATTGATATTGTGCTTCAGCTTCTACTGAGGCCAAATATTGACTTTAACGTACACTATTTTGTCCAAAATAAGTACTCGGTACACCCTTGAACAGAGTGTATATAATCGCCTGATGCCAAAAAGTTCACATTAGCCATGGAAGGACCCTTATACACAGCCAAGGTCACCTTACAGAAAAGGAAACTGAGTCTGGGAAAGTTGCATGGCAGCTCCCGATGGCACAGTTGGTAAACAACAGGCAGAGGACAGAACTAAGAACTCCAGATGTGCAGGCCAATGTCCTCCCCACTGCCTGTCATCTGCGCTGACGCTCAATCTTTTTCCTGCTAAAAAACAATCTAAATAGTGTCTGTAATGACGACTAGTCATTACTAGTCAATCTAAATAGTGTCTGTAATGCCATAGTCTCCAAAGCAGCCCCTTAGGCCCACCGTGATTTGCATGTATTGACAAATGGCAATTCATGACCTTTCCTGCCCATCCAATGTCCACAGAGGTCATTTAAACTTTGCCTCTAAAAAGACTGAAGGTAAAGGAAGCAAAGTCTGTTTCCAAAGATCACAAACTTAAATCCCATGTGAAGACACACATGTAAAGCTAAGGATACTGAATTTCAAAGACTTTGGAATAAAAGAGCTTATAAACCCTAAAGAGACATTAAGCAGAAATCCCTAAGCAGCTCCAGAGAATAAAAACGTCGGGGGCGGGAGGGGAAGAGAGGTTGTGGAACCAGAGAACCCTTCCATCACCTGTCTGTGAGTGGAGTTATGACAAGCCTGTCAGTGCAGCCTAAAAACTCATTCTGGTATATGAAAGCCACATCTGTGATGCGAATCATCATCTTGTCAGAATCTTCGTTGAAATAAAATCTGCACTGTTTCAGCCACTCGAAGTCTGTAGGGCTCTTGATATGCATTTGACACTGAAATGCAAAAGGTATATGTTAAAACTGGGGTAAGAGCCACTTATTAAACGTGCACATTACATTCACGTAGACCATAACGTGAAGTAAATGGAAGTCGGGGAACCCCAGCTACTACGAGATGTCAGCTACATCGCCATCCAACCCATTCGTCTGCTGGTCAGCAAACGAAGCTACTTTAGAAGATGTGGGTACAGGAAAATGCAAGAGAATCCTCTAATTACACTCCCCAATTTAAACAGCATGATATATTTTAATAGTAAGATATCTGTTTCTTAAATTTTACCCTTAAATGCCCAATACCACAGTCCTAACCATGAAATACAGTCTATAAAAAGCAGGTTTTGGAGTTCTAAGACAGAACTGAACAATTTCATGAGGAAAAAGGCATCTCTTGTGATTATGACAAAGTACACCGTTGGGTTTTTTTTAATCCATAAATTATGTTTCCTACGATTTGCAGTGGGCCAAATTTTCTAACACCTAATTGCAGGTTATTGCCCAGCAATACTTTTGTCTGAATTTTTTTAACCGAATTTTAAGCCACATTAATCATTTTTCTTTGACAAGTAAGAAATCTAAAATTACCCCGGGCCTTGTATTTCTCTAAGGGGCAAAGAATGTGCTTCACTCTTAAGAGGGGAGATTAGCACACCACAGCTTGCAGGTGCCACCTCTGTTTCCATTACATCAGAACCGGTCTTTCATAATCATGTTTACATAATGGGGTGAGACACGATCCAGAAAATTATTATGAAAATAAGAGCTTCCTGCCTCTTATCTAATGTCCTACGTTATAGCAGAGGACAAATTTCATTTCTTTTCATATTTTCTATCTTCTATAGCCACAAAACTCTTTTCTCCCCTGTTCTCTTTTTAAAGGCAAAGATCTGCATGACACCTGAATGTCACAAACTGTATTAGAAAAGACCATTTGCACTTAATGACATAAGATGTAGCAAAACTTGTTAAAGATGCGATTTATCAAAAGGCTTAAAGGAAGCAATAAGAGGCTCTACTAGCAATATTACTTATTAATTCTGTAGCAGGAAACTGTTAATCTTCGACTAATAACTAAAAGGAACACAAGACAAGTGAAAGCTTTTCAGGATGCTACATGACATTTTAGCATTAAAAGTAATCACATAAAAAATTTTAAAATAAAGTCTAATTGCTTCGATAGCATCTTAGCAGAGATTATCCGAATACGACTGAATTTTCAGCCAAGGACTGAAAAGAGAATCTGACAAATGAGCTCTCATCATGAGAAGATGACTCTTTGCCTGAATTTAACCTTTTCTTTGAATTCATTCAAACTAATTCCAGTGGGTAAATATAGATAACGGCTAGTGTCTGTTTTTCTTTATACGCCACAGCATTTATAGAGCATTTACCAGGTCATCAAAGATATCCCTTTGGTGCACGTGAATAGTGATCAAAGTCTCATATTTGACTCGTTCGATGGAACTCAGATCCTTGGTTGTGATGTCTATTAAGGTATTTAGCAGCTCCAGGAAGGACTGATTGGTTTTCTGCATGATTTTTTTATCAAACTTGGCATTTCTAAGGGCTTCTTCTGAATCCCGTGTCCATATCATTTGAATTCCTAATAATCCAACCTTATGGAAATGAAAAAAACTTCATGGATATACTTAGCAGAAAATTACAATGTAGTGAACAGTGATTATTATACAAATATGTCATCCTCGGTTACATCAGCTTGATATGCTGAATCAGAACCTATGAAAACTCTTCATATCATTCAACTGGCAATTAGATATGTACAGCCTCATGATATAGCTACAACATTTTTCTTATAATTTTAAGTCATTTATTATTTAAATCATATTTCTCCCCAGATAAATTTTAGGTTACTGGCAGGGAAAGAATATGTCTTAAACCTGCTTTCCCCAAACTAATATAGCGTTTGCCCAGAGTAGATACTTACAAGATCTTTCCTGATCACAATAACTAAGAAAAGATTGTTTTCTATATTTTAATGCTGAAATCGATTTCTCATTTTTCTGGTAAAGCATAGACTTGGTACATTTTTATGATTTATGTACTAAAGAAATTTAGTAGGAAAAAACTTTTCAAGAAAATACATCAAATCTGTCTATAATATGAGGTGAATATGTGGCCACAAGAGTGTTAAGTGAAAGTAAGATAGTTCTGACAGTTTTAATTAAAAAAAGAATGTGCATGTACACACACACACACACATACACACACACACACACATTTCTACATAAAACCAAGTAATCTGTAACTGATATCTTTATGCTTATCTGTATTTAAGAAACCTTTATGAAAATCTTAATATCGGCCCAGAGTTAAATGTAGCCAGTTGTATAGTTTACAATAGACAATGTACAAGCTCTAAAATGAGTATTCTGTAAAAAAAATAATAATAATAAATACTTTCCAATTTCAATACACTGACCTGAGCGGGGAAGGAAGAAAGAAATTCAATCAGTTGGAAACCAGTCTCTTGAATATTTTCAGCTGCCTGGCGAATCACATGATGTAATGAGGACTGAGATTCCTCCAAGAGAGAATTAAGCCAAACTTCCACATTGCCCTCTGCCATCACAGGTTTATCCAACTCAATTGTCTCACCCTCTCGAGAGGAAATTGACAGAATACGATCATAGATCTATGTTAGAAGCCAAAAAAAAAAACATAGCTATATTCACATAAATTCCTCCATTGCCCTCTTGTTAAAGTTATCCGTCCCGTAGAAGTTAAACTACAGATTATAGAAGTTAAAATATGATATAAAATCAATTTCAAAACAGTAAAAAAAGGAGTTACTCATGAAACCTAAAAGAGAATAATAAATCAATTCCAGACAGTCTCTATGGAGAGGGGAAAACTTATTTTCTAAAAGAAATATTCGATACAAATGTGGTGGTGAAAAAATCTCTAAACTTTCCCCACATGAAAGAGAATCCTTTAAGAGCCAGTCATCCACATCACAGGCTGACGTTGGCATGACCTGGCCGATATGATCAATGCAAACATCTTACAAGGTAATACCAATTCTGTACTAAACACTGTGCTCTTTACAGGATCTTGGTTACACAGACCATTTTCTAATTCACATCCAGCTCTGATCTGGTCATTTCACTTCAATTTCCATGCAGTATGGCATAACGAAAATAGCATGGTATTTGAGGTTCTAAAATACAGGTTCGAATGGTGCTTTGCCCATTCATTGACCACGCAGTGTTGGAGGACACAGTCCTGAGACTAAATTTCTTGCCTAAAATTAGTCATTAAAAATCATGCCTGCCCTACTTCCCTACCCGCCTCACAGGCTGTTCACGTCAATTAAACAAAAATGCAAACGATACGGTAAATGCGAATGTGTGTTGTTTTTGTTCTTTAGTAAGAGAAATTTTGTTCCCTGAGTCTCAGATTTAGAAGGAATCCTAAATCTCAGATTTAGAACTGTATTAATAAAGGCAATGAGTCACAAATTTCAGGACCTCTCATTTACATGGACCTTTTCCAAGGGTCTACACATAAATTTATATTGACTATTTTATAAGATTTTTATAGGACCCAAAAAACCAGGATCTGCCACTGGTTGTAGATACCTTACGGCAGGAACAATAATAAAAATCAATGCTATTTTAAGAAGTAATCGCTATGAACAAAGGCTAAAAATGAGGACGTTTCAATTATCTTCAATGTACAATGAGAGACGTTTCACTCCGGGACCAAGAAGTCCTAGCGCCACAGCAGGATTTGAGTAAAACGTCAGAAAGAACTCCCTGGGTGAGTCCAGTGCCCCTTTTACACTGATTTTAAACCATCTCCAGACCCCCATACTGTCTTCCCTTCCTCTCCACCCACCTCCTTCGTCAAGGCTTTGTTGTGGCAGCTCAGCCCTTCCCATCCTGACTTTGCCATCCCTTCCGACGCTGGCTGCCACGCCCACGTCTCTTTCACCTACACTGAGCCAGAGAATCTTTCTGAAATACAAATATGATCACTGCCCTGCTTCGAAACCATCTGTATCTTTCGCCACATTCGCGATGACGCAGAATTCCACAGTGTGATACACTTGGCCTTCTGGAATCTGGTCCATGCCTCTTTGTCCCCCGTCTCCTATGGCTCATCAATCCCTATTATGTGTTACACTGTGTCCCCCGCAACACCGCAAAATATATGTTGAAGCCCGAAGCCCCAGATCCTGTGCATTGTGATCAGGATGAGGACCAAGATGATGGTGGGCCCTAATCCAATGACTGGAAGAAGATAATTTAGACACAGAGACACGGACGCACAGGGAGAACGTCACGTGAAGCACCAGAGGGGAGCTGGACACATTGTCAAACTGGTCGTGTCACTTTCCCAAGGAATTTCGGGTGAAGGGATGGATTCGACAACAACTTTTGGCAACTGTGCAAATGTGGTCTCCTTCACGTTGAATGACCACTTTGGGGTCTCATATAACTCCATGATTCTAGAAACTTGTTGGGGGTGTTAAAAAAAAGTTTCAGTCGAGCATGATGAAAAACAGGGAACACCAACGTGCCAAAAACTTCTGAAACCTGATTAAAACAGTCAAATCCCAGTGGCAATTCTGTTTAGGCAAGGCACTATTTATGGGCCTGGGTTCGTTTTATTGAATTTCTGAACAGTTAACTCGGCATGTAAAACCATGAATGCCCCCTACGATGCTTTCCTAATCATAAACTATTTGTTATTTAAATCTACACTCTGGATAGTAAGAAATCACATAGTTCTGAAGGTAAATCGGACTCAAAAGTTTTTTAGTCACCGGCTGAGAGTCAATAGGCAGGGAAGTAATCCTTTAGAAGCACAACACAGGAGAGACATTCGATAAAGACATTTGATCCTCAGATACGGTCATGGCTGGCCAGCGGTTAGAATAGGCAAACCTTTTCGTGGAACTTGACGGTTTTAATGTTGTCAAACACATTCAGCAAATGAGCTTGTATAGTGTGCGTGTCCGATGCCTGCCCCAGAATCTCCAGAAGGGCAGGGTCCGAGACGAAGAAGAACCGGGGAAAGCAAAGCCGTTTTTTCTCCAAGTATCTACGTGGGGAGGAAAAAGATAAGCGTTCTAAACACGCAAAGCAGGACTCTCTAAAAATAATCTAAATGGGAAAACGGGGAGTGTTTTTGAGGTAATTATATTTCCCCACGTACTATTCGATGGTTTTTTGTTTGTTTCTTTTGTTACTACTTTTGCCGAGAAGCATTCCATATTCTGATGGAGCAACTTTTCTTTTCCAGAATTGTTGGGAGAATTTCTTCACTTTTCATAAGTGTAATGTATACACTTGACTTAATCTGAAAACTCTTGTACTTTCTTTGTAGTACAAGGAAAAATACAAATGGGTTTTTTGTTTGTTTGTTTGTTTTTATTTGCAGTCGCAGTGTTGTGTCAGATAAAGGCTACATCTCACTTGTGGAATTGTGTCTTTAAAAACCCAACGAGTCCATCGCTGAAGCAGAAGCAACATCCAGCTACGAATGAGCTACGTGAAAGGGCTCCGTTCTCCGCCAGGAGGTACCAACACCGACCTGCCCTGCTTTCGGCTGTACTTTTGTTTCTATATCTGCTTAATTTTATGGTGATTCTTTATGTCATGGATTTTTTTATTTCCTTTGTTATTCTCATACCTCTATCTCTGTAATGTTTTGTTTTAGCTTTTTACATTCCTTACCTTAAATATGCTAATTTTATCATTTTAAATATCCCAATATACATATATATATACACACACACACATATATGCCTTACTGCTAAATTATACACCTGAAACTTAAAACTTTCTGGATTTCATTAATTAATGTCACAATAAAATTTTTTTTAATTTAAAAAATAATAAAAGTAAAATATCAAATCATTGTTATATATCTGAAACTAATATAATATTATGTCAATTATACCTCAATTGAAAAATAAAAATTAAATAAAAGCATGTGTAGATAACTGTTTTTACAACATTACTATTTAATGTATTTCTACTTACATGATTTTATTTTGATTAGCCAAAGGGGAAAAAAAGAAATATATTTATTACTCTCACAATTCACCCAGCCTCTGTAAACATAAGAGTGTGTGTATGTCTGTGTGTCTATGTATATTGATAGATGTATTAGACTCTCATTTCTGTATAATCTTGACTGTTTGTGTAACTACACACTGTTCATATTGTTCTTGGTTGACTATAATGAAATATTTTGGTTCTTCAGATGTTTATACAAAAAAGTTATCAGAAAAATAGGTGTATTAATTTTTAAAAGCAAGGACCATAGGAGAACGTTTTTACAAGATCTTGTTTAAGTGATGGAAGATGTCTTAAGTCCTATAATCCCAATATCTGATAAATCTAGTAAATGCTTAGAGAGATTAGAAGGCTTCAAATTATCAAGTTTTATCCATGCAACAGCGTTAGTCATGAGTTAAGTCTCAGCCAAAGGACACCGACTTGGCTAATGCTGTCTGGTCTCTCTGATCCCGTCCACCTCTAGGATGCTGAGAGCCTTCGCAGAGCCAGCACGCTTACCCAGTAAGAGATTTCTGGCATATTTCCAACTGGTCCAGCAAGTGTGGTAATAGCTGCCCCATGGTCTCATCTCCGACACAACACTGCACCACATTTGGCATTTCATGCGCCCGGTTCATGATCTTCACCCAGGATTTATCGATATTGGAAAAGCGCTTGGCTTCCTATGAGGACGAGGTAACAAAGCACATTGGATACGTCTGCAGTCTCAAGAACAGAGCGTCTCACACACCTCCTGCTGGGGGCAGGTTTCTAACTGGTCTGGACACCCCGGCTATACCTGCCTAGAATGCCGCATGCGTTCTAGTTCAAGTCTCCCTGGGCCTTTTGCAACGTATCACCCCATTCTTAAATAAGAATCTTCAGCTCAACTCTGATACCCCCATCATGTTAACTAAAAACAGGAAATAGATATAAAAATAATAATTCAATACGAGACAATCTGGGGAGAAAAAAAACACTCTCAATTGTTTTTACCAGTTATCTCTAAATGAAGCGAATTTTATGTTTTTCAAGTTTCCTGTGGTGGGCTTTGAATTGCTTATGTATTTAGAAAATAATCATTTAAAATAAGATATAAACTTAATTTCAGTATAACCTTAATATTGCAAAATTTTTTAAATAGATTTTTTTCAGGAAAAATGGAAAATGCACAGATTAATTTGAGAGAGTAAGTAGAAATAACTTTTATTTTCTTCCTTAAAACTTTCTGTATTTCGGCAACAAGCATACACTCTTGAATGTGAAAACAAGAACCCCCACTTAACTCCTTCAATACTGTATGTCCAAGTTTCCATTAAGTCTAATTTGAGATTCTTCCCCACCCATCAAGAAGAAAAATATGACCAAAGAGAAAAGCAAACTTAAATTCAAATTCAGCGTATGGATGAATTTCACTGGTAGCCAAAAAAATAAATCGGCTGATGGATCTGTCCTCTATAATTAAACTGAAAACCAGCCAAAAAGAAAACTAGGACACTTAAGTGAAGAGAATGTTCAATATAATCATGCCTCTAAAACTCAACAACATTGTTAAAATGTTATATTTTTGCAATTTAAGGTAATTGAATAAGAATCCTTGAGATTTGGTAAAAAAAAAAAAAAAAAAACGTTTTTTAAAAATATCTCAAGATACACTCCACATACACCTAGTGAGATGATTACAATTTGATGAGAAAAACATCCTCAACATCTTGAGAAGAGGCCTTTTTTGTTTGGGAGCTTTTTTCCTGCAGATTTCCACCCCTCAATTTTCCAGCGCAGTTATAATTGGGTATGTTGTATAGTGTGAGTTATTTTAAACTGTCAGTAGTAGAAGAGCAAATTATCCTACTATTGTCAAGATAACTACTCCATAATTCTACACTCTTCCAGATTTTACCTTCAAATCATCTGAAGACATATATCAATTATGCAGGCATTCATTCTTCGTTGGTTTTTTTTTTTTTAACCCTCCACTCCCTATGAAATCTCACAGTTTTGTAGCGTTCTGACTCTGATTTTCACGCCCCTTCTTTCCCATAGTTACTCTCTTTGAAAAACGGTTCAACAGCAATCACAAAAGATTGGGCAAGGGCTGGCTCAAGAGAGGTCAAAATATCATTACATTTTAAAGGAGTTATTCGGTTATTCGATAGTTCTCTATGTTAAAAACCTGACGATATCATAAAGAAAATTCTAAAACCTTGGGAAGCTGCTTGGCAATGTCTCCTCCCACAAAGACGGCTTCTAAGTAAATCCACAAGTTTTGCACCATCATCCAGTTCTCAATGATGTCTGTTGAGTTGGAAAGTAACTGCACCCATTTCTGAATCTGGGCTTTGAACGGCATATTGTACCTAAAACAAGAAATATGTTCAGCATTTAGGTTTTTTTGAGGTTTCATTTTTATTGTTGTTGTTTTCAAACTAAAAAGATTTTTTTTCATCCTAATTTTTACCTATTTCTTTACAACCTTGATTATGTCACTGACTTTTAAAATGATGCTACCAAGTGATTCACTCATCACCATTTGTTGGGCATTGTCAGACTTTCTCCCTTTTGATCAAGACAATGAAGAAGTGGGAGACATGTCACCTAAGGAACGGACCGGGCATTAGATTTGACTCCACCCAGCTGCCACACTGGCAGAATTCTGGTCATGGTTGCTACTGACAACAGAGTAACACTCTCCAGCATGAGTTTCTGAGTCCATTCCATGGCATCCCTGGTTTTTCTTATCATATGGAGCAATGACAGAGCCATTGGCGGAGGCCAAACACTAATTCCATTTTCAAATATGATTTTTGGAATCTCTCTTCAGCCTCCCCTCTTCTAGGTCTCCTTCCTACTTCCTATTCACTCATGTCCAACCTCCTCACGTTTGTAGGTGTTACGTGTGTGAGAAGGCGTATGCATCTACGTGTATACCGACGATCCACGTTTCCACCTCTCCCACAGTTAATCTATCTTCCCTTTTTTCCTCCTGAGGCAGAAACCGACTGTGGTCTCCCAATGTCTTTTTCTCCTTCTTCTTTAGATAGAGATGCCCATTTCTGGATATATAGCTGTCCAGTTAAAATACTGAATTTCCCAGCCTCCTTTGCAGTGGTCCCAGGACCCAGTTCCACATCAATAGTTCTCTGCCTTAGCTGCACATTGGAATCATCTGGCAAACCTGAAAAACCTCTGATGTCTGCCTCAGTCCCACCTCCAAGACTCTGATTCAGTCAGTCTGGGATGTGGCCCAGCGGGTGGGGTTTTTGAAGTTGCCCAGGTGTGTCTAGCGTGTCCCCAAGGCTGAGAGCCACACTTCTAGATGAAAGGAAAGCGTCAGCATCAGCTATAAGGGGGAGTGTGGAGGAGGAGGCACACACCTAGAAAAAGAGTGAAGAGTGAGCCAGACAAAGCTTGGGTGGGTCCCTGGTGATATGGTGGAGCCCCCAATCCAACCTGAACTATCGACCTTGGAGCTCCTTTTACCTGAGAGAGACATAAGCTTCAGTCTTGTTTAAGTGATGTCATATGTGGCGCTTCTGTTATTTGCCGAAAAACTTAAATGTTTTTCCCTATCATTGTTTTTCCTCTTCTCTTTCTTCTCCCTTTCTTAATCTCTCCAGCCCAACAATGTAAGGAATTGAAGTCTTCCCAACATTAGTCATACTAGTGAATAAAATTTTAATTTCCATATTCTTAATTGTTAAACAGATTGTTTTAATATTCCATACATCTTTCTGGGGCTTTTTCTTTATGCTTGTCACTAGAATGTAGTTCTATAGCAACAGAGGTCTTTGTTTTATTCACTCTTCTATCCATAGCACCTAAAAGAGTACATGGCACATAGTAGGTGTTCAACAAATTTGTGCTGAATACATCATGTTCCTCACACAATTCCGTCAGTGGATTTGATGACATTGGTGAGGAAAGTGTCCCCATCCCTAACACAAATGATGTGACTTGATTTACACATGAGACTTTTCTAATTCCCTAGGGTTTGTTATATTCCATCTGTCCCTCATTCTGGTTGGGTATAAGTAGTAACCAAATTCATAAAAACTCACCAAATCCTAAGTAGTTCACACTCAAGGTTACCGATGGTCTAAATCTCTAAACCTAATTTTACATTCTATATCACTTATTTCAAACACTTAGGTGTACCAAGCAAATGGAAAGAAGAAGAATTTTTATCAAAACAGTATTAAATAGTTATTACTTCCTATATTAAAATTACAGATACACATATATGCAGAGAACAGAGTGGCATTTCAAAGATAACACAATCCATACCTCGATGGTATCCACATTTTACACAACTACCATGTATCTGAGAAGATCTTGGTGAACAAAAATTATTTCAGAAAAATCAAAGAAAAGCAGTGAACCAAGGAAATGTAAGTTCTGGCTTGCGTGGCCAAAGCATGCATGACAGCTCGCTGTCACTGTCAAGGTGAAATGTGAGAATGGTATCTGTCTGCATGGCTTCACTTTTCTTTATGAATTAAATTCACTCTCTCTTGGTCTGCCACCTCATTAAAGTATGTACACAGCTAAGAGTTTCTAGTCCGTAAACTTATTGGCAAAAAGGTTTTCCAAGTAAAATGAGCATTCTAAAAATCAGAATGACTTCCCCACCACCTCCGGGACTCTGGAGCCTGTTGAGCTATCTACTGCGTGCTGAGGCTTGTCAGCAGCAAAGCTGAAATGGTCCACAAGATCCAGGTGGCTGATTACATGCTGCATTATTTCGTCCAACTGATGGTCTCAGACGCATTCCACAAGCAAAGGATAATGAAATAAAAACAGTATTACGCACGCTCTGCCAAAGGCTAGAATTAAAACAAGTATTGTCAATATTGAGTAAATTGTATGAGACAGTGTTGCATTTTTTGAAAATCAACTTCCCTTGAAACGTTTGCTATTATGGTTCTCCAAGCCCCAGAAAGAGATGATGTTTTCCTACCTGTTGCTCAGCAGGGAGCCCAGTGCCACCAAGCTGTCCTCCATGCTGGCAATGACTTCCGAGGTGCTGTCTCCTCGCAAGAGGAGTTCTCCACGGGTTTTAAAGCTGCCAAATGTGAACGTTTTGCTGTCCCACTCGTTAATCACCTGCTTCAGTTTATGCTCAATGTCTCTCTCTTTCACGGCGCTAATGCAGATGTCCTATTAAAATGGCAAGCTCTCATTTATTCACGTGAAAGTCACACATCCTTCCTGAACAGTCTAGGTTCTTCGCTCTTTGATTCACATGGATCTATAAACATTCCTATTTCCAGATCTAAATAGCGATATAATAAGTGGTGTTTGTGTATGTAGACAGAGATTGGGGAATAGAGATGGAGACAGAGACAGTACTAAATAACAGAGCCTTCGTTTGTAAAAATTTCCCACCAAATTATTCCAGAAAGATAATGGAAAAAAATATGCAACAGTGGAATATTATTCGACCATAAGAAAAACGGAAATCCTACCATTTATAACAACATAGATGGACCTTGAGGACATTTGGTTAAGAAAAATAAGTAAGACAGAGAAAGACAAATACTATATGGCATCCTTTATATTTGGAATCTAAAAAACTGAACTAGAAAAAAAAGAGAGTGGAATGGTGGTTACCAGGAGCTGGTGAGGGAAGGGGAGATCGTGTTTACGGTCCAAACTTGTAACTAGTAGATAAATAAGTCCTGGAGATCTAACGCACAATCCAGAGATTATAGACAACAAAACTGTATTATAAACATTAAACTTACTAAGAGGCTAGATCTTAACTATTCTCACTCCAGGAAGAAATAATAATCATATGATGAAACAGAGGTGCTCTAAGGCTGCAATGTAATTGGAATACAAATGTATCAAATCAGTAGGTTGTACACCTTAAGCGTACATAAACTTATATGTCAAGTTAATCAAAATTTTAGATTTGATAAAAAATATGCAAGAACCTTATAGATTTTGAAACTTTAAACAAAGACTCAAAGTTTAATGTGTCTCTGATTTTAACTCTAAAGTCAAATCGGTCCAGTGCAAGGGGAAGGAATTAGCAGAAACCTGATTTCTTCCCAACTCTCTGATCACTTTCCCATCTCTTCTGCAGCATTATCTTCTCCTGGACCATGAGTCAAGTCCGGTCCTTACCCTCTTCTCAAATTACACCCCCTCTCTGGGTGAGCTCGTCCGTGCCCGCACGCTTACTAACCCTTTGTCCCTCCAGGCAAGACATATCTATTTGCCTACCGGATGTCTCTGTTTGGCTATATCAAGGGAACCCCAAACACAACTAGTGAAATAGCAAACTCAAATGCCCCAAATCAAGCTCACAATCGTTGTACCTTGTCACTCAGCCTGATTCCCTTCCAACATTCCCTAGCTCAGTGATCAGCACCATCATCCATCTAGATCTCTCAACAAATCTAGGATTAATCCTCGGCTTCACCCCTTGTTTCTCCTCCCACATTCCCTCCATCACCAAATTCTACCCAGTTTTATCTCCTAAAGATCTCTTCAATCTCTTCACTCCTCCCTGGCTTCACCACCTGCTCCCTCATCCAACACACCATCATCTCTTGCTGGGATATTCTTATAACCTCCCAACTGATTTTCCTATCATCTCTCCTTGCCCTCCTCCAATCTTTTCTCCACACAGCTACCTACTACTAAAGAGCGAGCTTTACGAAATGAAAATCTAACCATGGCATCCTCTGCTCAAAACACATCTCCCAGGTGGTTCCCCATTGCTCCAAAAAGCAAAATCAACAGAATATTCTAGCCTCGCTCCACCTCCCCATCCTCGCTGTCTTCTCTCTCCCCCACCCCCATCGCCCACACCTACTCTGGCCTTTTTCTGGTCCCCCGAACACACCTCAGACCCTTCACACATGCTTTTCCATCTGCCTGGCATTGGCTTTTTTGCACTTTCCAAGGCCCGAGCCCCAACACACACATACAGTCCCTTCACCCAGCAAGTCATGTGCATGCACTCCCTCTACCTTTTTGGCCCTTCCCCCTATCTCTCAGACAGATCAGACCCCTTTACTGTAGAATCTCTGTAGAGCAACACACTTTTCTTACAATGGTGTCTACCACGGCTTATAACTATAACTTTATTTGTATAGATATTTAATTAAACAAATTATTTGATGAGCTATGAATGCAGAAATGCAACCCCATTTGTCACATAAACATTCGTTGAAGGAATTAATGGCTGAAAGCCAGGAAGAGAGTTCTGATGGCCCTGGCATGGTTTACTGATCCAACATTCCACAATGTAGAAATACCATCAAATAAATCCCATGAGACCTTCCAATCTCCCACCACAGCATACTGTCTATTGTCTGTACCTCTATTTCCTCTTTGTATTTCAGAAGAGGTGCCTCCATGATGTTTCTTAACTTAAAAGTTTCATTCCCCACATCCAGACTATGCCCAGTGAGAGCGGCTATCCTTTCCCAGTGCCTGCCCATCATGGCCTTGCTGGCCATATGCTCCAGCAACGGACAACACTCGCTGAAATCATCGATGGTGCTCTTCAGATCCAGAAAAGCCTGCCAGTCCTTCGAGGCCCGGGGCAGCTTCCGACACCTGCGACAGGAAGCCAACATGGAAGCCCATTCACATAGGAGCCCAGGAGTCTCCAATCCAAGACTGTCTGCCAGCATTTCTATCAAAAATGGTCGATTTGAATATCTATCATATTTTTAAATCCCATAAGTCAGACGACATCTGTTAATATAATGTACTTTTATATCACATACAAGTACTCCTCCCAATCAGGAAAGAAATTATTTCAATCCTTCATAATAATTAACTAGATAAAATGCATTATTTTAAAGAATAGAGGTAAATCCCAGGTCAATTCAATCCTACAAACACATCTTGAGACCTACTAAGTACAAAGCTGTATCAGGCTGTTAACCAAAAAATACAACCAATGATCATCCATTTTCTTTGGGTTCAGTACTTTATTTAAAGGATGGAGAAAATATGGGGTTCTTGCTTTTATCCCAGGAAATCATCCCACATAAACTTCAGATATTTGATAAGTATTAATATAAATAGAGATCAGCTCCCTCCAAGATGTAGAAAAGCTTCTGACAAGATTCATCCAGGTTTAAAGGATGTGCTTGTCTCTCCATGTACACATGCTGGGGTAATTAATAAGTAGCACTTGACAAGGGTGATGTCTAATGGACAAGAGCAATGCAGTACGATGTGCTTTCGAAACATCTAGACTGAGAAGAGAACTTGACAGCAAACAGAGAAGAAAGCATTTGAGGCTCCACAGCTCTGGGCATATTAAGCATTTAATTTCTCACCTGTTCTGGAACTCTAAAAGTTCACTGTTGATTTTTTCAATATTCACTTCTGACCACGGGATGTCGTGATAGCCATTGACGGTTTCTATGACACTGTTGTACAGAGTGTATATTTTCTGGAGAAGATTTAGTTGCTTCTTTATTTCGAGAAGCTGAGGATACTGGGTAACTGGCAGACCAAAAAGCTCCTCTCCCCCGGTATAGGTGATGTATTTTCGGTAGATATTATCAAATTGATTCTAATAAAAATGCAAATGAAAACTCACCAAACATATTTACGCATTAATAAACATGCAAATAAAAAAGACACAAATTGGCATACATATATGATCTGTGAGCACATGTAAATAGAAATACTAAATGAGTATAATTAACTGCATAGCAACCAACTCCAATTTTAACTACACTAAATCATATTTTTTAAATGTAAGTACACACTATATTCCATGATAAGACTTTCTATGTTAAGGGAGGAGGGCAGTATGTGTTTAAAATACATTAAGGTTTTAGTTGTTTAGAAGGTCATAGAAATTAAAAAGATTACCTGAAACATGATCAGCCTATCACTGGCTTCCTGGGGTTTCAAGTCACTAGCCATTGGGCCATTCTGAAACAAAAAGTTAAAACAAATATAAAATCGAATGAAGTGTTTGTATGTAAATTTCATGAGCTCAAAATATTTGAATATCGAAGTTAGCTTTCGTGCACAGCACATGTATAATAAAAGACAGTTTTTTGTTTACAAAAATAGGACTTGGGAAAGTGACTCATTTGGAAATATTTTCCAGTCGATCTACAAGTTAATGCCACAATGTCCATATGTCGAGAAATTTTGAAAATTAAAAATATGTAGCATTCATTTCTTAGGTGGCAAAGCAAAGAGTCAATAAGTACTCTCTAAGAAGCACATATAATCTCTGGCTTTGAACTAAAATACTAATGCCACAAAACTTACGGATTTCACCATTCTAATATCTATTTGTAAAGTGACCTGTAATCTTGACATTCCAATCGGGTTCTCCTACATCAGAACGCCTCAAACGTGTGGGTTTCTGTGCTTTCTTCAGCCATGGAGGTAGTGCAGGAATCCAACCAACCACCTAACAGTATTAACCTACTTTGTGGTTTGGTGTACTGCTCGTTAATAGATACAGATTCTACCCTACTGTACGCTCTACGTATTTCCCTTCTTAACGTTATAATTGGCTAGAAATAGGTCTTGTTACACAATATATCCCAAGCAGAAGATTCTGCACTGAAAACTCAAAAATCTTTGATTAAATATGAACTCCATCTGTCCTGTCCATATTTGTGTCTTGAGCATCAAGGACCTGGCACGTGCTGGGTGCTCTACATTATTGTGGGACTACTGAATGAATGCTGTGGGAAGATGAATGGTGTAACTACACATAAAGAGTATTTGTCTACACGAATTTAGAAAGCTATCAAACAACTTCAGTAAAAGACCAAAGATACAATATGAACAGCCCTTTTAAATTTCCCATTTCCTGTTGAAATTATTCTGGATGAACTGTAAGGGGAAAAGACTGTGAATGGGAGATGCCTTTGCTCCCATGAGATGAAGCTCCCATTCCCAAGGACTTTCGTTATGTTTGATACACAATCTTTAAACAACTACATTTTGCATCCACACCCTCATATTCCCAGTTAACGATGTCTGGATGCGAAAACGGAGCAGGGAAGAAGGCTGACAGGGAAAAGTGGAATCGTCTGAAATACAGTGTTGGGGGAGAGCTGTGTGGATACCCTGGATGTCCAGGAAGATGACGAGTGGGTCCTAAAGCAAATTAAGCCCGAGACATCACTGGAGGCGAACATGACCAAACTGCAGCCGTTCTGCTTCAGGCTCATCGTGAGAGGGCAGGGGTCTTTGGAAAAGACTAGAATGCGGGAAAACAGAAGACAGCAGGGCAAGAAGAAGACCAGATATGAGATGGTTTGATTCTGTAAGAGAAGCCGTGCAGTAGGACGAAGGAAGACCAGATATGAGGTGGATCAACTCCGTGAGAGAAGCCGCAGGCCTGAGTCTGCAGGAGCTGAGCAGGCCTGGTGGGGACAGGACTCTGTGGACATCACTCATTCCTAGGGTGGCCAGGAGTTGGAGCCGACTCAACAGCACATCATACACACAGACACACACACACACAGACACACGCACGCGCGCGCGCGCACGCGCACGCACACATTTTTTGCATACTTTATTCATTCCTCACCAACAATACACACACAGAAAGCTAGAGCCATACCGAATCATAGTCCAAGTAGAACTGGTGACAGTCTCGGACAAAGACCTCCACGGTACTAATAAGCTCTTTCCTGAAACTGGGCTGTAGGGAGACTAACTCATTCTGAACTTCACTGGCATGAACCAGAAGCTTTTCCCACGCATAACGCAGTGTATCAACTTTGTCCATCTCTTCCTTCGCTATCAGAAGGCCGTATTTGTTAAGCAGGGCATAGGATTCCTGTGCAAAAGAAAAAAATTGAGATTTCTGTCAGTCAGATGCATAAATCTACACACAGTCACTCATTGAAGCATTAGAAAAGATCATCACAATAGGGAAACTGGCCAGAAAGTTCTAGTTACTCTCCTTGCAAACTGTGAAAGTTGAAGTAAGCAACTGAACCCCTAAGCTTCATTTCCTCATTTGCAAAACAGGAAGATCCTCTGGCTGTTTCACAGGTTTCCTGTGACTATCAAAAAATATCATTTTAAATGCATTTTGAAAACTGAAAATCATTATACAAACAAAAGATATTTTTACTTAGGCCCCTAAATTGTATTTGAATATTACAAAATTATACCGAGTAAATGAAAAACATAAAACATTTAACTGCTAGTTTGACAATAACAAAATAAATCAGGTTTTAACTCTATCCCATTTCACATTTTTAGTAAGAGCTTCCAAAATTAAGACACAGAGGGTGCTCTGGAATCAGAGCCTGGGCCACGTCAATGCCCCTAGGATGCAAAATCCTGCACTACTCTCTTGGCTAGATTTATGAGGTAGAGGTTGGTTTTCATGAGAAAGGATTTTCCTTAAATATCCCTGGCCCCTTCTGCTACCACTGCTCCTCCCCATAGAGGTAGAATGGATATCTGATTGTTACTATGGGGAAAAAAAATTGTTGCTCTAGACAAGTATAGCCCACTGTGTCTCTCCATCTTTCTTCTTCCTGCCTTTGATTGGCAGCCCCATCCAAAAAGAAGTAGAGCAGGATTATAGAGAGACCTGTAGCTTTCCAATGCTGCCTCTGATGGATGAGCAAGTCTTATTCTGGGGTTCAGTAGTCACAAGCGCACAGTGGGCGTGTGTAGGGTGGGGGATGGGGTGGGGTCTAATGGGAATATGGGAGTTATACACTAAATCATGTCTTCTGAATAATAAAGATTGTATTTCGATCTTGACTACTTGACTACAGTTTTGTCATAACTCTCAGGTTGGGAAAAACAGGGTCAGTAGTTTCAGGGGCTCCTCTTCACTCCCCAGGGACTCCCCTGGCCCTACGCAAAGTGGGGGCTTTTTCCTGGTGTTTCAATTCCCAGGAATCGCATGGTGGACCATGTGGTTTCCCTGACCCAGCACAGGAGAAATACAAATGTGCAGTCATCTGCACCATTTTCATAGTAATTTGAAATTTTCCAAAAGTCAAAGAGGAATCCAGGAAATTTTTGAGACTCAAGTGTGATCCTGAGCATAAGAGTTTAAGCCCAGACATTCAAGTTATGGTGTGAGAAAAAGATAATGTTTTTATGTCTGGAATTGTATTAATGCTACGATTTTACTTGTCTCATTTAAAATGATAAATAGTGACCCATTCCTGATAAAACATTTTCATTTAGAAAAGATAGTATAAAAGCAATGTGCAACATTAATCAAATTGCATAATTTCTTTGACCCTCAGTTTCCTTGTGTGTAAAGTGGGAGTTGCAGTAAGGATTAAGTGAGTTAAGGCAGAGTTAATACATGACTGTACACTGTTAGTGACCCATCCGGGTCCTGTTTACCAGCTGATATTTGCATCCCCAACTGCTGGCTGGAGGGATCAAGCTACCTTCTTCCCTGAAAAACTGTCCTCAGCTTAATAGTAGCTTTTTTTACAGGGAGAGTATGGTCAATGACCAACAGACTTGGGGGTATAAAGGGCAGTCCCTATTGCCGCAAGGTGGGACCAACTGTGTGGTACGACTCATACTCCAGAGGTTCCAGTGGGATTGGGCCGTAGTCAGTCTACAGCTGAGATGACATCATCACGTAGGTCCCCGCAACCCGACCTCATCCTTTCCTGTTTCCCTCACTCCCTTTCTCTCGTGAACACTCATCAATAAATCACTTGTACACAAATCCTTATCTCAGGCTCTGCTCTTAAGGACCGTAATGACATGGGAGGGACCAGAACTGGCCCACAGAAAGCACCATATGAGGGTTAGACATCACATTGTTCTTAGGTTTGGCATCCGGTAACTCCACTCCAGACATGGTCTACATTTCAGCTAATATGACCCAACATGCGGAGATACTTCCATAATGAACAAATTATTTTCAGTTACCTCGATAGGTCCTACTTGAAAGTCAATGGGAATTTGCTGCTCCTTGATTTCCTTCAGTGCTGCCATAGCAATCCGAATATCATCTAGGTCTTTAATTGGACGATTCAGTTTCTTATTGAATTCTTCAACAAGGGTAAAAATGTTTTCCATCTCACTCCTGTATTTTTTGTTACAGTGACGGCCGATGACAACCATCCAGGCCTTGGTCTCGGCAGTCAAGGTAAACTTCAAGTCAGCTGTAAAACCCAAATGTCCACAGTTCAGTTTGAAAAACTTGAACCAGTATGAGACGACACAGTATGACACAGTACAGATGTTTGACAGTAAACACTTTGCATTTCGTAGCCCTCGAACACATGAAAAAATCAAACTAGAAAACGATTAGTTTTTCCCTAGTCATTATAATTTATTTCAAAAAGCTTGTTTTCCAACAATTGAAAAAATGCTAAAAAAAAAGAAAAAAAAGTACATAGCGAAACCACTGGAGATAAGCCTCAAGTTTGTTACCGTTATTTATTAAAGGGTAAATTTTAAACCCAAATATAACATCCCCTTTCTCTGAAATAGCATTTATTTTCAAGGTTTAGCAGCACAGTGTTCAAAATGGTCCACAATAATTATGCAGAAGGGAATTAAAAATAAATCTACAAATTGGTGTTAAAGCCTGAGGCCCACAGGAGTAGAGTCAATCTTTAAGATAGCTAGAACTCTCTGGAACCCTAATGTAAGTAAAGAGACAGAACAATACTACTGAATCTTTATGGCTGTCTGAAAGAAAACAAACCAACCTGTGTATAGAGCGATGGGACCCACACAGATATATTCAGGCTCAGCATTGATTTTTTGCTCTAGGTTTCGGAAATAGAGAATCTGGGATTCAAATTCAGAAAGCGAGGGGTTTTTCATAATAAACATCATAGCGGTTTCTTCTTTCTCCTTTTGCCAAATGTGATTGTAGCATTTGAAGCAATCCATGGATGCAATAACGTCCTAGGATACAAATAACAGACCTGTGTTGAGGAGGAAGGGTCAGAACTGGCATCACGCTGTCAGGAAACATTTGACAATACCTGGCAGTTCCCAGGGATTCATTAAAATGTTTAATTAGTGAACGGTGTGATTGGCTGGAAATGCCACAGAACTAGGACTATGTACAATAGGGTAAACAGTAACCCAGGACTAGCAATAGTGAAACTAGGACACCCCTAGCCAAAAGAAGTAGGGGACAGTTTCTAGAAACTGGAAAAACACAGAGCCCATGAAGACTCTTGTGGACAAGGCCCTTTTGATTGGAGCTAAACTTTAGGTCAAAAACCACAGCTCAAAATCATGCCACAGGGAGTGCAGCGGGGAAAAAAGTTCTCTGAGGTCACTCTTTCGCCCCACCCCTCAGTTCTCCTCCAAGACTCTAATTGGTAGAATGTACTAGAAGCCTCAGTGGAAACCTAATTGACTTGTTCCCTAAGTCAGAGAGTGGAGACTAAACCCGGAGGGGCTCAAACCCCACTGAAGGACTGCCCGGGTTGCATGAAATGTATAAATTCATCAGACAAGTACTGACATCTGTGTGACATTAAATCTTCCCATCCTGGAGCATGGTGTTTCCAAATCTTTCCATCTTCTTTTTAATTCCTTGTTAAGTTTTAGAATAATCTACATAGAGACTCCACATACTTCTTAGCATGTATGTATATACATATACATATATATGCATATATACATATATATATACATACATACACACACACACACCCCTAGGTATTTTTCACTATTTTTATAACGGGCTATAGATGGCATTTACATTTTAAAAAACTGATTTTTTAACAAGCAGTCCTGTTTGCTACAAACTGTGCTTCTATAAGATGAACTGACTCACTAGCAGATGATAACCAGGGAATGAAGTCAGTGTAATGGGGAGGTCACATGACATAAAATGTTATTTTTCCCAGCCCTCTGTTCTGTTGTAGCTAAAGCAGCAAGCCGCGAAGGGCACGATTCTGTGACGCCCTCTCTACCTCTTCTTCCTCTGGGCCGTTTTAGTGTCTGCTTTGTTTTGAGAATGTTCTTTGCAGTTTGACCTGCCGTTTGTATATTTTACCCTTGTTTCTGTAACTCAGCAGCTTCGATTGTTTCTTACACCACCTTCTACCAAGCTTCTTGCACCTTTTGATGAAAAGTTCCATTCTTATTCGAGTGTCATTAAAGAGGTTAATATTTTACGATGATTGTTATTGTTTTTATTGTTTTTACTGTGGTTACAAAATTTCTTAGGTTTCGTGTGTCTGCCTCATTCCTGTTTTCCTCATAATCCTTATTTTATTAAATGTGCAACTTTGCAAAACAGGATTTTCGGGAACACATTTACTGCATTACAGCAGAAATGCCTACAATTATCTTTCAACTGACTACTAACTTAATTTTCACCAGGCTATATTATTTTTCAGATTAGCCTCTTGGATTTACTTGGTAAATAATCATACCATCTACAAATAAATAAAGATTTGTCTCCTCACTTATAATGTTTATATGTCTTGGGATTCAATTTATTCTATTGGCTTATAATTTCAAAGTTATATCTGCAAAAAATTTTGTAAACTGAGACTGAATTAAAAAGATAATTACTTTAAAAAAAAAATAGAGCATTACAAATGGCATCCTAAGTGGTCTAATTATATTAAATAAATCACACCAATCTGCACCAAACCAACAAGTAGTTTCACTCTGACTCTCGTTATGTAGCTAAAACATGCCTCTGAGTCTCATGTTTAATGGGTGCTGAGATTTCCCACCCATTAAAGCGCAGAAAGCTAAGCCTGCCACTGCTTGTCCCAATCACAATGTGCCCCCGAAATGTTGACATAAATACCCAGAATGCACTACGATAGCAGATAAGACATATTCACAAAGTTTGAGGGTTTGGAGAATAAATTACAGATGATCAAAGACCCTTGGATATAGGTAGAAATTGCAGAACCCTGAGTTATTTCAACATCTGAGTTTATAATATTAAGATATATTCAAACTAAATAAGTTTTAGACTCTCACTTATTTTATCTCGAAGTGTCAGTCTTTATTAAATTGGTACTTTCTGGAGTGGAGATAAAAGGAAAAATTATGTGAACTATGTATGTAGAACTGTTCTCCTTCAGACGTTTCTTCCCCCAAGGTTATTTTCATTGTTTGGTCCAGCTAGCTCATCATTTCAAGCCAAGCAATGTTATAAGTTAATGACCAGCTAATGAAAGAGCTGGATGTATGTCAGGTTTACATTAGAATCCAGTCGGCTATGGCAAGAGGAAAGGGGCTGGATGCTAGGATGTTCTGTGGTTGAGGGAAAGCCATTCGGAGGGTCTGTAGCTGTGGAGGGCTGGCCATGGCTAGCATTATGACCACGCATGCGTATGTTCTTCCAGAAACAATCTGGCCATCCTATCAATGAGGAAGATGTCCTTCAAGTTATTCTAAATGCCAACCCTTTCTATTATTTGAAGGAAGACTAAGAACTGTACACATCCTTCATAACATAAAAGTAAATACAACAAAAATGACACAGAGATAAGTATTTTGTTGCCAGCATTATGTTACTATTACTATGTCTCACCCTTAGCTTTTCAAAATAGAGGCTGCTTATATTCAGAGAAAGTAATGTATCTTATCATTGATTTATTTTACTGTATTTTCCATGATTGCTAAAACATTGGAAAATATATCTGAATGCTTATTATCATTATAGAATACTCTACTTAGCTTGATCATTTAGTATAGAGCTTGATAAACAAAGCACGAGACAAATATTTGTTAAATTAAATTACGTGAACACTGCCCTTAGAACAAAATTAAATAGGAACTTCAATATATTAAGAAAAGAAAATTGAAAATGCATAAATGCAAAAGCTTCCAGTCCCCTCGGGGACGCATTAAAATTAAACTTAATATTTCCTCACATGGTTACGGCAATGGTAGCCTTTCGAAATGCTTTCAAACAAATAAAATAATTCTATCAAAACTAAGTAATAGAAAAGATGTATTTACTGAGTGATGACTATTCCCTCAACACATTTTTAAAGAGGCAACAGATCTTAGCAACAATATAGATATGAATATGGATTTATTTAAGTAGAAATTGACTTCAGACTTTTGAATCTTTTTGGCCACAAGAACGGATTTGTCTGAATAAAAAAGGAAAATCTGAGAAAAGAGCAGGTGGGAAATAAAAAAGTTAACCCGACTTTACATCTATGCCCAGTGCAAGTTTGTATTTATAATACTAATATTTTCTTTACTTTCGGTATTACCTGATTTCCACATGGCAATATACATAAATTTTCATCTGATATGTTTTAAGATTCCCCTGACTATACAAATATGAAAAGTCGACTACAAATCTTATTCTCTTTCAAATGTACTAGTATCACTGATTCTCTATGAAGTGAATTATACCACCAATCTGACTGGTGGTTTGAGACACATCGAACTTTTTAACGCTCAGATTTATTTGTACTAAATAAATAAATAGGTTGAAGGCATTAAACAGAACATAATATAAAACATAGGAATAATAGTTCTCTTTTATCTTGCAATCGAGAATGAAAAATCTTTAGTTAAACAAACATGTGCTGAGAATGCACAAGATGCCCTAAGCCAGTCACTGAAGGCACAGTGGGTAAGACCCAGGCTACATGTAGGATGAACTTGAGATGTCAGTTCCACACAAGCACAGGCTGCAAAGGGAAGGGCTCAGGCTATACATCCCCACGACATACCTTTTTGATGGAGCTGATGATTGTGCTAAGCACAGAGACTAATTTTACAATTTCTTTGTTGTCAGAAACATTCTTATAATAGTTCCTGGTTTGCACGGGAATGGGTAAATTTACAGATGCTATCTCAAAGGTATCTAAAAGCAGAAAAAGAGAAAATTTTATATCAACAGCATAGGACACTTAAAAAGAGGAGAGGATCTCTGTAATGGTAAAGTAAGGACCTTCGAAAATCTTTTTTATAAAAAGCAATAGAAAACAGTGGGAAAAAATTGTCAATATCAATTCTTCAGAACTCTGGAAATTCACCAAAGCTTTCAACAATCCAAGGAACATTTGTTTATTCCAGAAAAAAAAAATGTTAAATCTCAGTAAAAACAGTGAGTTTTGGAGTGTTTTAACTTGCTCTACTCCCATTGTCCCGTCCCTGGCTGTGCTGTACCTTCAAAACCCAGCAGCCTTGCAACCACTACAGCTGTGAAAACCACAGCCTAGCAGTCACTGAGGGCCCAGACTAGGTTTGGAACTCCTCAAGAAGCCCCATATAACTATCACTATTTGACCTGTCTGGACACTCCCTGGAAAAGCCCCATTTGAAGAGTTTCTCTTTATAAGACCTGACTGAGAACTCACTAAAAAAAATCCCTATCCACAAGGCATATGTCAAAAAAATGAAAAGCAACAAGTATTTAACTTCGATGTTGCCTGAGGCAATGATATTATTTGAAGCAAACAAGAGTTTGGCCAAAAAAATTACAGATCTGGGGAATGAGAAGTCCACAGAAGGCATCGTAAAGCTCTGACATTTTGCTGGGGCTCTGGAAGGTCACACATATGTACAGAGCTGTGCACGTGTCCAAGAACGACTGAAGATGCCCCAAACATTTAGCTCTGGCTGAACTGAGCCTTTGCACAATCAATAAAGAACGGCTAAGCAGTGTTGAAAACTTCCTGGGCTTTTGGGATGCTGCAACACACACACACAGTGTCCCTAGGCAAAGGGTGGAAGATTTACTGGTTCAAAGAATCAAAGGAAGTCTCTTTGCAATCGGTGGTTGATCACTAAACTCGTCATGCAAAGATTACGGTAGTATACGCCACAAGAAAGGCCAATTTTATAGAATTAGTCCAGGAAAATCATTAAAGAAACAAACAGTAACACCACCACCTGGGGAGAAGAGAATCAGATTCTCAGAGTTGCCACATTATATATTCTTGAAAATATCAAGTTTTCAACAAAAATTAAAATTGTGAGACATGCAAAGCAACAGGAATGAAGTGCCTTCATACAGGGAAAAAAGCAGCCGATAGAAACTACACATCAGAAAGTCTTACCAGTGAACAGACTAGACGAAAATTTTAAATCAGCTATTCTAAATATGTTCAAAGAACTATAGAAAACCATACCTAAATAATTAAAGGAAAATATCAGGATCGTGACACACTAAATAGAGAAGATCGATAATGAGACAGAAATTTAAGAGAGAAGCAAATGCAATTTCTGGATGAAAAGAACAACAAATTAAACGAAAATCACGAAGGGCTCAACGACAGATTTGAGATGGCAGAACAAAGGATCAGGGAACTCGGGGATAAGTTTCTTAAGATAAAAAGCTATGTTATTTTTTTGAGATATGTCTTCTTTCTGTAAACATGTCTTTAAGGCTATAAATTTCCCTTTCAGCACTGTTTTAGTGGCATTCCATACATTTTGGCATTTTGTGGTTTCCTTTGCATTTATCCCTAAAATGTTTCCTAATTTCCTTTGTGATTTCTTCTTGGACTCAATGATTACATGGGAGCGTGTTTTAATTTTTACATATTTGTGAATTTCCCAAATCTCCTTCTGTTACTGATTTCTAATTTAAGTCCACTATGGTCAGAGAACGTACGTTGCATCACTCCAATCGATTTAAATTTCACTTTAATACTCTTCAGACTGACTGATATTTAGCACAATTCCTAGAAAAATCATAACTGCCTTTTTTGTAGAAATTAACAAGCTGATTCTAAAATTCATATGGAAATACAAAGGATCCAGAATAGTCAAAAACGATCTTGTAAAAGAAGAAAAATGTTGGAAGGCTCCCACTTACTGTCTTCAAAACTTACTACAAAGCTATAATAATCAAGATAGTGTGGTACTGGAATGATAGGTCAATGGAATAAAATCAAGAATCCAGAAATAAACGCTTACATTTACATTTACGGTTAAAAGATTTTCAACAAGGGTGCCAAGAAAAGTCAAACAATAAAAAATAGTTTTCCAACAAATGATGCTGGACAACTGAATATGCACATGCAAAAGAATGAATTTAAACCCCTACTTCACTCAAAATGAATCCCAGACCTAAAATATAAGTGCTAAAACTATACAACATTTAAACAAAACACAGAAGTAAATTTTCATGACTTTAATCAAAGTAATGGTTTCCTAGATATAAAATCAAAAGCACCAAAAAAAAAAGTTAGCTAAATTGGATATAAAATTAAAACTTTTAGACTCTAAAAGATACCATTAAGAAAGTGAACATATTTGAATATATTTATAAAAGACAATCCACAGAATATGAGAAAATATTTGCAGGTTATATATCTGATAAGAGATTTATATTCAGAATACACAAATAACTTTTATAACTCAACAATAAAAGACAACCATTTTTTAAAAACAGGCACAAAGAATTAGAATAGACATTTCTCCAAACAAGATATACAAATCACCAAAAAACGTATGAAAAAAAAAATACACAATATCATTAATCATTAAAGAAATGCAAATCAAAATCACAATGAGATACTACTTCACACCCATGAGAATAGCTATAATCAAAAGGCAGACAATAAGAATTGTCAATGAGGATGTAGGAAAAAAGAAGAGCCCTCACCTATAGCTGGCAAGACAGTAAAATATTACGAATGCTTTGAAAAGGTTTGGCATTTCCTCAAAATATTAAAACATAAAGACATCATACAACTCAGCATTTCCGCTCTTGGGTATATATCCAAAAGACATAAAAACATATTAGCTCAGTAAACACTAGTTTACAGTGACAAGTTAAAAAGCACTAAAAGAACATTTACCTGGAGGTTCATTAAATCCCATTTCAGCATCAGAATCACTGTCTTCATTATTCTGCAAAGCAGCCATTTTCCTTTCGTGAACCTTTTTCTATGATATAAAAGGATATTTTTCAGCTCAGTCCCCTTCGTAAAAGCAGCAGCCTCCCTATGAAATAATTTCTTCATCCTGCACTCACCTTGGACAACAGCTCACCGCTCCACTGTCTAACCCCCTTGGTGACGCTGACGACGCACTCCACGGCTTTGTTCAGCATCTGCTGTGTGTCCTCCAGGGCAGGGACCATGGTGATGTTGGGGATGGCCAGAGTAATGCCTGCCCGGAAAAGGGGCCGACTCTTCGACTTCATCTGAGATGCACTGTTGCTGTCTGGGGAAGATGCATTCATTTTCATTTAAAACAGGACTTATTTCATTATTAACCAGAAAAGTTAAAGCACCTAGAACAATATATAATAGGTATATAATCAGACAAACATTTGTTGAGTGAAGAAATGAATGAAGGAAAACTCCTGGAGGATCTAGTTTTGCTCCATGTAACAGAGAAGCTCAGTGGAACCCAAACCGTTTTCTGTTGATGACAATATGTCCGTACACCCTCCGTGAAGAGTACCCACTGTGTGCAATCAGGCTTAATTACGTACACTCTTACCTAAAATACTGAAATGGTACTCTCCAAATAACAGGATGCCAACGAATTAGTCAAATGTAGAACAAATAAGCAGGGAATTAAGAGAAGTCATCAAAACGTGCCAAAGTCAAAACAAATAATGAGTTTGGAATTTCAAATAAAACATATGTCTTTCCTACCACAGTGTATATAATCTGAACACAGAACAATTAAAAAGTGGAGAAGAAATAAAGTGTAACTCACCATTTATATCCCAGAGGCTTTTAAAGTTGGATATAGGTATAGAAATAAGTATAGAAATAGGAATATGTGTGTGACTTTATAAATATAGTTGAAAATATCCATACTATACAAAGTTGGGAAAGAAATGTGATTTAGTATTCAGCATATCAACCAATATTTGATAAGTTCTAATAATATCCCTATGTCAAAGAAAAGGACTATCCTGCATTCTGAAATGAAATAAAACTTAATGAACCATGCCACCAATCCAAAACTTCTTTGTGTTTCCACTTTTATTTATCGACTTTTAGTTAAATATTAGAGACACTTTCCCTTAAATGCCAATATTCAAAATAAATTAAAGTTTTTATTATCCTATTATTTTTCCATTTTAATTACTGTTACTTTTTTACTATTTTTAATTTAAAATTTAATTTCAGAACTTGTATAGATTTGATGGATTTCTGTGGTCCATCTGGGAAATGCAACACCTGTTTCTGAATTGTGCTGAGGAAGAGATGATTGTATTGAAAATGAGGAAACCAGCCGGAAAGGACTAAATTGACACAAAATTAGTAAAAATTTTCTGCTTTGAAGAGCATGGCATTAATAAGCTCTCTCTCACTTTCTAAACCTGGCTAATCACCTAATAATTTAACAATGAAATTTTCTTTCCATATATTTTCTTTTTAAAGCACATATTTTTTTCTTTCACTAATGCATCTTACATGTTTTCACCGTGTTACAAAAAGATTAAAATTGATGCCGACTATTATGTGTTTTTATTATCGAAAGCTAGGCAACCTTCAGCAAATTACTTAGCCTCCCTGTGCTCTGGTTTTCCCAGTTTCAAAGTAAGAGTAAGGATAATATCTACTTCATAGAAATATTGGGGGAATCGAAGTTCAGTGTATAAACTTACAAAGAAGCACTCAATAAATGGTGGGTGTTTTAATTATTTAAACCTAACAGGAACACACGCATGCGTGTGCGCGCGCACGTTCTCTGCACGGGAGCAAATGCTAGCGAACAAAATGTGGTTCAATACTGGCCTCCTGTGGCCAGAGGGATTCATCGAATCTCTGGAAATCGCACATCCTCACACCTCTGGTCAGGAACGTTCCCTGGCTCTGCGCCGAGCGGCCTGTCCCTGTTTTCCGAATGCTGTTCGGCTGCCGGCTTTTTTTTTTTTCCTCTTCCTCTAACAACTCAGTCTCTTTCTTCTTTCTCATGATTGTCGTCAAAGGAAGGAGGCCTGCACCGGCATTAAGGGAAGATGTCAAGGTGTCTGAATGGCCTTCTTCTCTTTTTGCTGTTATAATATGAGAGAGATTGAGATAGAGATATGAGAGAGAGAGAGAGAGAGAGAGAGAGAGAGAGAGCGAGAGAGAGAGAGAGAGAGAGAGAGAGAAATCATATAGTGCAATTAAAGAGAAGAAAATTAAGCTAAATTATATGCACATTTGATAACACTTAAATGTCACATGCCTTAGAAAGTGAGGTCATCAAAGGATAGGAAGAGGAAAGTGGACTGATGGTGGCTTCTCCTCCTCAGCGTGAGGAAGCAGGGGAGGCCAGAGCTATCGCTGAAAAACGAGGCTTGGCCTGGTGCTCTCTCTTCCACCAATGGCCAAAAATCCTTGGAGGAACAGCCTCCCTTCTCTGCCTCTCAGTGTCCTCATCTCTCCCACGAAACCTTTGTTCTGGTGTGGATATACTCCAACCGGAATTCCAACCCATAATCCATCCTGCTCTGGTGGTGAAACCACACACTCAACCTAAGTGGAAAGACAGCTAACAAAGGCCAATGCAAAGTATGTTTGTAGAGTTTAACAAAAAATAATGGAATTAATGACATAGAGTCATTACAATAGGCTCAAAATCATAATTTCAGACCTATAAATGTCCTTATTAAATTGGGAGAGTGTTTATAAAAGTGTGAAATTAATTACTAGGTAGAAAATTAAATTTTAGCGTTTAGTAATGTCCTAGAAAAATAGAACCCTTCCATTAAGCCAGCTATTACCTGAACCTTTGTTTTTTGAATCAGCACTATTCACATCGGATACTTTTTCACTTTCGTCTTTAGATGGAACTTCCACATCCAGCAACATATCTATTAGCTCATTGACTGCTTCTTCTACTAATGAGCTTTTAAAGTGTAGTGTCTGAGCACCATTTACACAAAGGTCCTGTCAAAAAAAAAATTGCACAGCATCACATTTGTTTATCTAGCTCTTGAAAGCACATCAGTAACGGTAGTTATGCTGCAGGTTCAGCCTCCAGATGAGATTCTGGCCTCCAGGGATGCCTGGCCACGCCCCTCACGCTAACCCAGGCCAGGCATCCTGTAAAAAAAATGCATTAAAGACAAGGGAGGCAACTGGAGAAGCATGGATGGACCAAAATTACACTTACTTCTCCGGCAGTGGAAAAAATAACTCCAAAAGCCATCAGCAGCCTCTCTAAAGCCTCTCATGGAGTTTCCTTCATTTTACGCAAATCTGCTCCAGGCAGCCTTCCTTCCCTCCTCACCTTTGCCAACAAGCCACGATCAATCAGAATTAATTTTAGATATTCCCCTCCCCTCCATCTAGATTATGCATTTCTCAAGAATGGGATTTAACAAAGATAAACTAATATGATTGAGACACTGTGATGAATTCTTTAGGAAGATGATAGATAGATAGATAGATAGATAGATAGATAGATAGATAGATAGATAGATAGATAATAGAGGATGGATGGATGGATGGATGGATGGATGGATGGATGGATGGATGGATGGATGGATGGATGGATAGATAGATAGATAGACAGACAGACACACACACACACACACAAATACAGACAAGCAGACAGGCTCATAGACAAACAGATGCACAGATGGACAGACACACAGACATGGATGACGTAGACAGGGATTTACTACTTAGTTGGAAAATCATCCCAGGAAGCAACAGACTTGACAGTAGGTCATCGCCTCCAGCTCCAAGTCCCACCATTATTCATCTTGAGACTCTCTAACGGGCCTGTGGACCATCCACTCCAAACATCTGCTTCACGGTTTATTTACCTTCTCATCACCCATGACCTTCACCTCTACTTCACTGCTGCATGGCACATGGCATTTTGATGCCATTAATATAGGAACATTCTGATGTGTCTTGAAACTCACTATTAAACTTTAGCATCAAATAAAGTATAAAATAACAACTTTGCTCCCAACTCAGAACTTCACCCAACTACCAATCTCCATCCCTAGTCCAGAGACAGTTAAGAGACAGATTTACAAAAAAAAAGAGATGGGACTCGGATTGGGTAAGGGATGGCATCAAGTTAGCACCATCTGGTGGCAAGGGTAGACTGTGGCACAAACTACCTGGGTTCAAATCCTAGCTCTGCATTATTCTGGGAAATTCTTCTGGGCCTTGATTCTCCCATCTGTAAAATGATGATTGTGGTAGAAGCCACTTTAGGTTGTTGGGAGAATTCGGGAAGACAATGTATATAAAATAGTAAGAACAGCGCCTAGCACAAGTAAGCACTCAAGAAATGCTTATTATTATTGGTCAGCAAATCACATATAACCACAGGACTTGTGTTTGCCAAACTCATTTATCTCATTCCATATAAACTAGTTCCTTGTTCTCTGAGAGATCGCTAACATTTTTTAAGCCTGCATCTTAAATCTTCTACACACTCCCTCGTAATGACATGATTCTTACTTCGACTATTCCTTTACCAATATCTTTTATTCCAGCACTCCCTCAGCTTCCCACTGTCTGACCCAGGAGAAGCCCAACTCAAATGAACCAGGTGATCTACCCTCTTCCCTTACACACACAGGTCATGGCAATCTCAGCACTGGAAATTCCTGGTCCCCAAACTCAGTCGGGTCCCTAATGTCATCTAGGAATCATTGGACATGGCTCCAGTCACGTTCCCCTACCAGGCTCCGTAACAGCTGTGTCCTCAAATTTTTAGAGCATCCTTCCCCATCATACTCAGCTAATGACCTTCCCTTCTACAGCACAGAGCAAATGAAGGCCGTGATCCAGGGACTCACCCAACGCCCTAGCCCCATGCCTTCACCCAGAAGACAAACCAGCCTCTATCATTAACCCCTATTCCTCCTTTTTTCAGTGAACGCGATGTTTCTCCTTCTGTTGGAGAATAATCACACAGCCTGAGCTCTAAATCACAGACTCACTGCTTCCCCAGAGACCAGGCTTACCAACCATGCCCTTTCTCCTTCTCTACTTGATTTTCACCCCCAGCATATGCACATGCTCAATGAACTTCGACTCGACATCTTCCTCCAGCTACCATAACAACAGGCTTCTGCCTCGGGGCCTTTGCACTTGTTGTCCCCTCTGCTTAGAAGGCTCTTCCCCAGAGATAGGACATGGCTTGTGCATTCACGTCCTGTGTAATCACAGAAGTCATCCCTGACCACTGACAGAAAATCACGGCTCTGTCAGGTACTCCTTTTCTCCATCGCCGTCTCGATTTTTCTCCATTGAACTTATCACTGCCTGACATGTTGTTTACTGGCTTTTTTGTTTACTTTTCTGTGTCCTCAACTTGTAAGTGGGCTCCATGATGAAAAGGATTTTATATGTTTTGTTCACTACCGTATCTCCAGCAGTGGTTTACACAGAAACGCTACAAAAATTATTGAAAGAGTAAATAAATTATAAAAATTAAACAAATTCAAAGGAAATCATTTATTTATATTGGTAGTTATTTATTTTGGTATTGAAAATGCAAATTAGGCTCTATATGATTTTGCATCTTAAACTAAAATGCATAATTATGATATTATTGTTAATTTTTATAATTTATTATAATGCATTGTTATATTTTATTTATAATAAATATATCATGACATAATTTATTATAAGAAAAATTTCATCACACTTATAATAAAAGTGTTTGTTGGAAGATAGTAAAATTGGTACTATCATATTGCTGGTGGTGTTGTAAGTTGATACCATCCTTTGGAAAAGCGATTTGGGTACAAATATTAAGAGCCACTCAATGAAGCCACATCCTTTGATACAATAATCATCAAAGAGGAGAAAATCATTTTAAAGGGTAAAAAGGCATGGCACATATAAATATATTCATCATGGCTCTTGGCAAAATGGCAAAACTTTAGAAGCCATCTACATGCCCAGTAACAAGGAACGAGCAAGTAAATTAAGGTCCATCAGCAGGGACCACAGTTATTAAGAGGCAACATACCAGACACAGTTGCCTAGCCGACGGGAGCGGCTCACAGTTCTAGACTGTTCGTGCACAGGGTGTGTGTGGTTTGTGCTGAACACCTGCTTTCTTTCTAGGATTCTACCATTTGGGTCCATGCGAGGCAGAGGTGCCTATGTGACCAGACCCCCAAAAAAAACCTTGGGACTTGATTGAGTCTCTGATGGGTTTCCCTGGGCAGAAACCTTGCAAACATGTTGCTGCGTTTTTGTTGCTGGGGGTACAGTGAGCTCTGTATGACCCTCGTGAGAGAGAGCGAAGCCATAAGGGAGCCAGCACATGCATTCCGAGCCCCACCTGTCTTCTCCCTCACGGCCGGAATGTACCCTGACTACGTCACGGTGATAAGTCTTAGTCTCGAGTGCAACTAGGTTCTGAGTTCCATGAGTCCTTCTGGTGGCGATGGTCTTGGGGACTCCTGACATGCCATATTAAAATCATCACTGATGAGTTCTTACAATCAGGATGCCATCGGGAACACTGTCCATAATGCTAAAGTGACATTCCGCAAGGGGGCACTTCCTGGATCACTGCTCCCAGGATCTTAATCCTGGCACAGGGAAGAAAGTGTCCTCTTTGCAAGCAAGTTTAAGAAATAATGGGTTAAATAATGGGCCCCAGAACCGTGTGCCACGGAACACCAGTTTGGGAAAAGTTGCTCCATGAAAAAGTTTAAAGAAGAAATTCTATCCAGAAGCTGTTTAAAACAATTGCTTTATTAATTAACCCTAGCTTACTAGAAAGCTTTTCGGCAAAATAGCTGTATTCTCAAAAAAATTTGAAAAAATGAGAATTGTTTTCCACAGTAATTTCCCTCCTATTGATCTGAAAGGAAATGATCTCTCCCTCATGTCTAAGTGACCCCAAACACATTCCTCTTCATTTTTAAACTATTGTCAGAAGGCTCCGCATTTAAATCACGTCTATAAAGACCAATCGCAGGTAGAGAAAAAAATGTAATTGATGCTTCAAGGAGTGCCTTTTATAGAGAAATGAATTAGAAAAAATAAACGTTGACGGAAAACATTAATATTCTAACGACCTTTGTCGTCTGGAGAAACTCTTCGCAGGTGAGTGGGTCCTCCTGGGGAAGGTGACAGAGAGGCGTGCTGCTCATTTCTTCCAGGATGGCATCAATGCGGAACTCTATCAAATCACTGACCTTGTCAAGCAGCAATTCCAGGTCCCCTTTGGGAAAAAATAAATGCGAGTAAAAGAGATTAAGCATTCTGCTTTTAAAAAAAAATATCAGCGCTGGATAAACGGCAGTAGTAAAATCAGGATTAAGTCGCTCCGTATCGGAGTTCCACACTTGGTTCTCTCCTTCATCCTTCCTTTAACCTGACTCACACCTGAACACTGGGCCCAGGAGGCTTCTGTAAATCTGCACACATTCGACCTCCGTTCCTTAATTTAAATCACAGAAAGAAAATGGAATCAGAGAACGAAGAAGAGTTTTTTTAAAAACTAGCTCCTTGTCTCCAGGAAACTGTAATAAAACATCCAAACTGTTAATACCCTAATCCTAATATTCTCTAGGGAGATCATCACGAACCTCTATTTTGGCAGCCTGTTCCAATGCGGTTGTGATAACTCTTATTATGAAGTCTTTATACATTTTATAAATGCCTCCTTCTAGAATTTTAGCCAATTTCCTCTTGTGTTCGTTCCCGGGGAGATGTATTTTGGAAAAGATATTTGTTTAAAGGCAAATAAACTGGATTCTATACTGTGCACATCTATTAACATTAGAAGCCACTTCGCATCTCTGGGTTATAGTTTTCCAACTTTAAATTGAAGGTCTTATTTAAGATTATTTTTATAATCTTCTCCAATCCTATAATGCAGGGATTGTCTGATCATTCATTTTACATTATTCAATCTTCAAACTGTAATGACCCTAAGCACTTCTCAATCATATCCGAAGACCCCTTTATCATTTGTCTCGGAATCTAGTCCCCAGCTTATGAAGCCAAACAAAGAGGGTGGGAGGGCTCAACCACTGATTCCCACCCCCTCCCTACCAACCCAGTGCCTCTCAAATACTCCTGAGTAAACAGCATCTAGCAAAATGGATGGCTGGACCCTTCTGAGCTCTAAATTACTTGGAAGGTACAGTGAAAACCTACTAATAAGACAAGCTCTTGACAATTCAGGCCACGAATAGCTTAGGTACTGCTTCGGCAGTCACATATGAGAGAGGGAGGGAGGGAGGATAAATATAAAAGGAGCCATCATGAGAGGTATCTAGAAGGGATGCCCAGGAAAAAGTGACCTTCAAGATGATGGGATCAAAGAATTAGAAAGGCGTTAGGGAGGTAAAGAATCAAAAAGAGACTAACTACATCCAACTATTGCAATTACGGTCCATGAGTGTATGGGTGTCTGGTATGCACCTGAGAGTAATACAAAAATATAAGAAACAGCCTGACTTTCACACCCTTTGCCATCAGTTTGGGAAGAGAGATGGAACTGTGCCAAACCATTAGAGGAAACCAATGTATAGTCCCTGGTCCCAACTGTAAAACAACAGGAGGCCACAGGAGGAAGTGGTCTCATGTGATAGAAGAGTCTAAGGAAGCTTCTGGAGGCGAGACTTACTCCAGGCTATAAAATATGGGGAGAATTGGGCCACAAAGAGAAGTAAAGGACACCGGGTGGTGAGGAGGACCCCCCCATACCATGTTCCAAACTGTGTCCCACCGCCCATCACGGAAGGTCTACAAGGTGTTAACGCGTTCTCCTAGAAGGCAGACAAGGAATTCTGGGAAATGCCACCTACAAGAGCCCACTTTTAGAGACCCACTGGACAATGGCATATTAAAGTCTCTGCAAAGTCCTCTAGGAAAGGAACCTGCCCGACTATTTCACCGTAATTTCCCAGACTTACGTCTTTGCCGCATACCTGTACTCATTCTGGAAAATCGTACTTTAAGGAATAAACTACATTACACATATTCTAAAGTGTACTATATCCCTCATTAAGAAAAAATGTTTGCAGAAACTTTTCCCATATATTCTGTTGTTCAGCACTTTACTGTCCATATCTCCATATATTATAAACTGGGTTCTCAAAACACACTCACCTGTTAGTCAAAAGGCCGAATGACTCTAAAGATCCTTTCAATCCTAATGTCCAACAATAAATATCATTTTAAAATGTAGTGTATCTCTGGGGTTAAAATTAAATAGTGAACAGATATACTTTCCAGGAAATGAATGAATTCATATATTTTGGTGATATTCTTTAGGGAACAGTTTAAGAAAAGCACTCTTCATTTCACTATTTATATCACAATCTCGAAGAAATGAGACAGTAGACGCTAAGACCTCAGCCTCTCAAACTGAAAAATAATAGTCATTTAGACAGACTTACTGATCTTTGCGAAAGCGTGATCCAAGTATGTCTCAATGTTAAGTGACGTCCAGGTGAGCGCGGCCAGGCCAGGCTGCAGAGCTGCCTCCACTGTCGCCAGGTGAGGCCCCATAAGCGGCTCGACGACAGGCGGCATTTTTGACTTCACTCTCTGATACTCAGCCAGCATCATCTGCAGCGAAATGGGAGTTTAGTAATCAATTAATTTCTCACTTTGAATATTTATTAATATCTCACTTTTTATGAAAAAAGATGATTTTTATTTAGGGTCCAGCTGTAGGGCTCCAATAACAGCCCGGCAGGTAGAGTGGCCAAAACAAAACAAAGATAAGACAGAAGACAAAAAAATCTCTCCGTAAATACAAAAATTCCTAATCTGATGAAATTCAACTGAGGAGGCGAGAAAAGGGATTTAAGAGTTTCTCATCCCAAAAAGGAAGAAAAACTCTGAGGTCAGGTAACTTTTCCAAACCAGGTGAAGTCATGTAACCAGTGCCTTAGGCTGTGCTAAGCTCATTCATTCAACTTGTACGCTGGTACCACATGCTTCCTATGCCTCTGGGCACTTCCTGTAGACCATACTCACCACCCAAAATGTCAGAGTCACCAGAGGTTTGCCTCAGTGGAACTGTAGGCCAAGTTCTGATGCAAGACCCCAAACAGACAAGGAGTCGAACCAGTGTTGACGTCAAGTGCTATGGCTTCAAGTGTCACCCACATGCCAAAGACAACCAAACTTACATCTCCAGCCCAGATCTTACTCCTGAAGTCCAGATTCATATATGGCAAGAGTCTACTCAATACCTCCACTTGAAAATATAGCAGACATTTTAAACTTAACATGTACAAAACTAAAAGTTTGTTCTTCCCCAAAACCTTCTCTGCTCACAGCATTTTCGATTCCAAATGATGGCGACCATCCATCCAGCTCTCAAGCCAAAACTCAGAGTCATCCTCGACGCCTCTCTCTCACATCTACATGCAATCCTTCAAGATATCTTGTTTGCTCCATATTCAAAAAAGACCCTATTTCGGGCTTGCTTAGCATACCCACTGCCACCACCATTATTGAGCCTCTCCTAAATTATCGTAATAATCTACCATTGTCTCCTCTCTCCCTCTCACGCTCACTATAGTTTACGCTCAATGAAGCAGAAAGAGTAATCCTTTCTAAATGTATCACGTCACTCCTCTGCTCACCTGGCCACATGGTTTCCCGTCTCATTCAGGGCTACAAGTTCTTATGCTGGTCTGCGAAGATCTACCCAGTCCAGACTCCATTACTTCTCCAGTTCTATCTCTTACCTGCTCCTGTCCTTCCCTTTGAGGCCTTTTTATCTCCTCTAAATAATTACTTGAATGCCACCTTCTCAATTAGGCCAATACTGACTACCTACTTAAGATTGTAAATCATCACCAATAACCACCTACTCACTCTGTCCTCTTTGCCCTATTTTTTCCATACTACCTATTGCTTTCTAATAGACTCTTTAATAATGTATCTACGTATAATGTTCATTGCTTGTTTTCTGTCTTGCCCAACTAGAACATAAGTTCTATAAGGACAAGAATTTTGTCTGCTTTGTTCAGTGTCAAAACAGTACCTGACACACAGGAGATGATCAATTACAGATATCTAATTAATTATTTGTCATCAGAAGGCGTATTTGCAATCAGAAACTCCTGGACTCTGGTCCTCCACTGAAATTTACCTGTTGTGTAATGTTAAATTGTGTCAGTATTTTGCTCATATGTTACCATTTTTAAATAAAAGTGATAGTACTTCCAGCCTGCCTTTTCTAGTAATGTTAATATGGATAATAATTAATTATAAGAAAGTTACTTTAATGTACCTCTTAAATACAATTGTTTTTAACCTCATATTTTTAATGTGCACGGTGGTATTACTTTTTCATTAAATCAACGTTCTCAGGGATTCCATAAGAAAAATCGTCTCAATGGATGAGTTTGGAAAACACTGTACATCAGATCCCTCCTTTTGAATAGTCAATTAACATTAACGATACTGAGAAATGTGAAGGAAGCAAACAAGAAGCCCGATGGACTTTGTAAATTTCTTTAAACTCAACATTTCCTAAATGGGCCACATAATCCTTTCTTCATAGAATCCTTTCTTCCACGATTTCTTTACATCCTTTCAATTTCCATGAAAGCCACTTTTGAAAAGCCTAAATTTGATGGTTCTATTAGCAGCTACTTATACATTTCCTGAAGTTTTTCCCCACTGCTTACTTATTACTGTCCATCACTTATCTATTTGGGAAGCAATTCTTACAATCAACCTTCTGCATCCCATCTTCGTTTTTTAACCCCAGGAAGATTATTCATCCATTTTATAAATGAGAAACTGAGGCTTCGGAGGGTAAAGGAATTTGCCCAAAGATAATGGTTTGAATCCAGATAAATTGGCTTCAGAATCTATACCTGTAACTATTAGTACATGCTGGCTAATTTCTTTCTACTTTGAACTGCCTTCCAAAGAACAGATGAAGAAAACAAGCTCTCAGTTACTTTGGCATATCTGTAGAAAGCTGAAAGTTCTGTTAAATATTCAGCACGATAATTCTGCAACACCTGAGAAGTTCCCCTAAATCTGCTGATAGATCCACTCTCACCAGCTACATGACATGTTGAGTAGGAACTTTTAATTCTTTCAGCCTCCAAGATATAACAAATGTCATCCAGATGACAATTAACCTGCTCTAATTGTCATTTACACTTGTGGTTGTTTTAAAAACATCCTTTGACTCTCCTTTTCTCTTGAGGTGGGGTCTATGTCCCCTTTCCTTGAATCTAGGTGGACCTACAGAGTTCAACAGAGTACAACAGAAGTTATGCTATGAGATGCTGAAGTTATCTTAGAGGCAATATGGCTTCCTCTTTGTTTACTGTAACACCTGCTCTTGGAACCCTGAGTTGCCATGTGAGAAATTCTACTACCCAGAGGCCTCCACACTGGAAGGCCACACATAGATGCTCCAGTCTTTGGTCTCAGGTGAGCAAAGCTTCCGGCCATCCCCACCAAAGAACCAGACATGAGAATGAGGCCATCTTGAATCTTCCAGGTGGAAACTCTGCCAGCTGAACTAAATAACCTTAGTTAAGGCCACACAGAGCAGAAGAATCACCTAGCCAAGTCTTACTTAAATGCTTTACCCACAAAATCATGAGATACAACACAATCTTTATTTTACTTCCACTACAGTGTGGGATTGTTTGTTACATGCAACAGATAACTGAAACAATTCTGCGGACAAAATTATATTTCGTAAGTTTATATTCTTATAAATATTATTTCTTAATAAAAATAATATTTTTTGTGAATGTTTAGATTGACTAAGTGATTTTCCTAGCATGCAAGAAAAGTCTAAAAGGGAACCCCAACATGCTGACTCGTATTTGATGAGCCCACATCTGAGGAATGTCTGTCCTCTGCCAGTATTGACTTTTTAACACAACATGGAGGAGTAAACGGCAGACTGCAGTGTGAGTTCTGGTCCTCTCTGCATTACTACCTCTGAGACCTTGGCTAAGTTATTTAACTTTTCTGAGTCATGGTTTTGTCACCTATAAAATACTATAATAGTATTCTGCCCCAATTACCTCACTTGGTTGTAGAAAAGATCTCATGGAATAATAAACATGAAAATGGTTTAAAATGTAAAGTTATGTAAATGCACCACCTTATTGGCCTTTTCCTATCACGGGCACCACTATAATTGTAACAGTGGTTTCTGTGTTGTCAAATTTCACAGCTACATCTCTGTCCTCATCTGGGAAGCATTCGTCACTGCTGACCAGGCTCTCCCTCATGATGCTTTTCAACCCTTGGCTTCCTTGATGCTTGGTTTCCTCCCACCTCAAAAGCCAGTCCTTAATTTTATTTGCATAGTCATGCTGTTCTATCAGACCTACTAATATTGGAGCTACCTAAGGGCTAGGGCTAGGCCCTCTACTCTTCTTAATCTGCATTCTCTTCCTTGGAGATATCATCCAGGAGAACAACTTTAAATAGCAACTACACCAAAAGTATGCCTTTGACTTTGACTTCTTCACTTAACTCCAGACTCACACATCTACCTGCATGGATAACACCTCCACTTCGATCTCTAAAAATAATCTTATACTAAAGATGAGAACTTGATTCCCTCCTGCTCCCCAAAATGAACTGGTTCCAGTCTTTGCCATCTCCATAAATGGAACTTCCATTCAGGGCCACTGCATGTTATTGAGCAAGTTGTGCAGAACGCAACGCAGATAGTAATATATAACAACCCTCCTGTGAGGAATTCCATTGTGTTGCTCACACCAAAAACAAAGGAATCATACTTGAGTTCTCTTATAACCTGCCTGCTGACATAATTCTTCGATTCACTGACCTACTACTTGGTTGACATTCTAGTTCAAGCACCATCATCTCCATCGTGAACCAATACGACAGCCTGCAAACTGGCTTCACATTGACAGTCTTGTTCCCATAAAATCTATTCTTGACCCAGCAGCAACAATAATTTTCATTGTAAAAGACATCATGCCTTTTCCTTCTGATCAAATTCCTCCAACAGTTTCCCAATGCACTCAAACTTATATCCTTGGTTTACGAGATCTGTCATGACCTGGCCTTGTCAACTCGACCTCATTTCATGGTGCTCTTCCCTCCGTTACTCCACTCCAGTCTTCCCGGGCACTTTCTAGTCCTTGACAGTAACACACCACCATTTTTTAAAATGCAAACTGGGGAGAGCCAGGAAAAAACTAAAAGTACTATACCTTCATGTTACTGAAGTTCTTCTTGTATATATCCCGTTTCTGGAAAAGGGCAGCTGCAAATGGTGACACTTCCAGACCCAACTGCGACATGCACTCTGTTTCTCTAAATAAGGTTAATATCTGAGGGTCAAAGTTTACAAACAATTCCCCTGTTCTCGGAGCCTTTACCAATAAAGAGGCCTCAAGTCCAACGTGAATTTCTTCAATCTACAAGAAAAGATTAACATCATTACTATAAGAAAGTTCAGTGTATACACTGGCTACCTAGGTTGGCCACTTCTAGGAATGAGGATCATTTAAATCTTCTTCCAAAGAGTTGAGCGTCTCCAATTATAGACGGTGGGGTCACTCACTCTTCTCCTAAGTTCACTTTCAGGAAAGGGCTTTCAAGTTCCTGGCGGTGACATTGTTCAGTTGATTTAACAAAACGCTTGGGTTGTGATTCTCTCACGCCCTCAGGTAAGTGGATATACGAATAGCGATGGCTTCTCAAAAGCCATGTAGCTCCCTGATACCTTCATGTCTACTCAGTTATTGTTCCTAATAAAAGTTTCACAAAACTTACTAAACTCAGTCTTCGGTTATCAAAAAAGCAACGAATAGCTCTACAGCGATATCTCTGTACTGGCTCAGACACCAAAATCTGAACCAGGAAAATGAGACGCGATTTTAGAGGGCTTGTGAGGCTGAATTTTATCCTGCAAAATACAGAAGAAAAAAAAAAAAAAACTTCCTGCCAATCTACAAAGATTGGTAGAGTATGAAATATAATTTAATTAACCTAGTATAGCCAAAGAAAATATAAGACTCCGTTTAACAGACATATTCGTGTTTACTGACACAATAAGGAACTGAATGGAGGAAAAAAAGAAAGAAATTCTAATCAACCAGGTAAAGGAACCAATAAAGGGGATCTTCTCCCATAGGCATTTGTAAATTAAATAAAAATGAGTTTCTGTTACCTGGCTTATGATTTTTCTTCATGGACATATTACTCTCTTTGACTGATTACCTACATTCAACCAAACCTGTCTTATAAAATATCCTCGAAAACCAACTTTCTGAGTGAATAAAACACTTCGATGCTCATGGAAGGTTTCCCACTGATTTGACGGTGGAGATCTTTAAAGAATATAAACGTAGAGACTCACCTGCTGGAGCCATGCCCTGTGGTAAAGAACCTCAAACTCCAGGAGGACCTGGGCCACCCTGTTGTAACTTCGAATCACAGGTCTGGCTTCCGCCGTCTGCAGCACAGTCGGCTGCTGCTGGAAAAGCTGCATTGGCTGCTGAATTCTGTGGAAGAGTTGACGGGCCCACAGGATCTTCCCAGCGATGGGGGGCTGGTCTCGGGCCAAAGGGGGGTCGCCTTTCTGCTTTGTATACAGCTTTGAGATCATATCAATGTCAGCCCCATAGTGTTCAAGGATACGCCGATATTTGTCATCAATACCAAGATTGGGTATATTCAGTCTGGTTTTTTTTTTTTGAAAAGTGAAAGGTTTGCATTAATGGGAAGATATCTAGCCATCTCTTTTATTGAGATTTATGTTAAAACACATGCTCATGGAAGAGAAAGATATGTGGCATATTTAGAAAACCAAAATGGTACCAATCCATCAATCACATTTCGATAAAGTAGGGGATTTTTTAAATAGCATTAATTCCTACAATCTAGGCAAAACTATTAACTTGGTAAGAATTTTTTCAAATTACTTAAGTATTAAGTAATATTATGATAGGTGCTTCAAAACTAAGAAAGTCTTAATCCTCTGAAGAACTTAAAGACTGACTACATTATCCAGTGTTGAGGGAGGATTTTATTTCTATTAGAATATGAAATAATAATAATAATAATAATAATAATAATAATAATATAAGCTAAACTCTATTCATATTACCCCAATTTTAGAAAACGGAACTTAGAAAATTATTCCAAATTTTTACCTTTCAAATTTCTTTAACATACTTAGAGCTTGATTTGTGTTTTGAATCTTTTCAAATGTGACATCCATGAACTTCTGCAATTCATTCTAAAACAGAATAAGGTCTGATATGAATTAGCACTGGGAAAGTCCTATTTAGCAACAAGATAAACGAGCTTCCCATTCTCTACAAATACATATAACACAGGACAAACTAAACCAGGAAAGTTAATACTCACCTGAACTTGAAAGAAAGATAAATGCCCAGAAGCCAAAACAAAAAAAGACATGACAGCCAGAGCAGCCACAGGAGTTGGGACCGTGGCAGGCTCCAGGTGTACTGGTCGGGTGGGAAGCCTGGGGTAGGCACTGGGGCTTTATCACAGCTGTGGGGCCCTAACACTCTCAACAGATCACTGCAGAAAGCCAGGGCCCTTGCAATGCTGCCCACACCACACAGGGGGGCTAATCAATTCTGTCCGCAAGTTAGGGGGAGCAGCAGGAAGAACTGCCATCTGCCTAGAGCTGGGAATGGATGGATAAAGAGGGCCCCCCAGCAGAGTTCCCACACCTTCTCTGTGAAGAGCCAGATGGTATTTTCGCCTTTGAGAGACTTAAGTCTCATTTACAGCTACTCACCTAACACTGTGCACAGGCAGCCGCCGACAATCCACAAACCACCAGATCCTGCCCACTGGCAGCCTACTGACCCCTGTTCTAGAGCTACTGAAACGCAGAGCCTGGGCCTCGCCTACAGGAGGAGTCTGAGTTCTCAGACACAAGAGATGACAGGGGTCTAACCAAAAAATGAACGCAACAGATAGTCTGAGATGGCAGCAGAAAGAATGCGAAGCCACCCACACTCCAGAAACACTTCCGTAGCCCAGGGCCAGAGACCCACACAGGAAAAGTACATAAATAACTGCTAAGAATATAAGATTAAAAAGAATGACCTCAATATCAAAGTTTTAAGCAACGCCTATTTCATAAAGCTCTCAAATCTATTTTCCAAAATGATTTTCATTGTGGACTGTCCTGAGAACCTCACACATCTTACACCATTGTACAATTGTGTCCAAAAAATACTGCACCAAAAAATGAAGCACATGATTTACCCTTTGTTCATTCTAAGATCTAGTACAGAATTGCCATTAAAATCTAAATTGAGTTAAAAAAAAAAAAAGACGGAAAAATTATTTCATTATTTTCTATTTCATGCTTCAAAGTAAAGTTCCAATCAATCTTTTTTTTTTTTCTCTCAATTTACTGGACAGAAGTGTGGGCCTCTATAATTCCAAAGAGATCATTCATTTATGAGGTAATAAAATTGGGAAGCCAGTTGCACGTGCAGTGAGAATTAGTACCTAGATAAGCTTGATTTTACAGAAGCAATTTGGCAAGACAATCAGTCGGAAATATCCAGGATAATATCTGAGGCACCGCTGGAAACAACACCTGAAGAGATGCTGCTGTTCTGGGGGCTGGCCTGTGCCATTCGACAAAGCCCTGAACTTGAAGGATGGCTAAGCCTATTAGGACACGTCCTTGCCTCTGATACTTCTCACTACTTCTACTGAAATTATAAAGAGCAGTACGGTTAGCCTACCCAAACAAATACTCGAATTTTTTTCATTACGAAAAATGTCTAAGGATAAACTATGAAGAACTAGAACATCTGTAATTCCTCTACTTCCTGCAACTTCAGACACTAGCAAATCTTTGCTGAGCCCTGACACTCGTACCTGATCGTCCCTGGTTTTCTACCCTATGGCTTCACAAAGGCCTGCACTGAGCTCTCTATAAACGTCTAAGACCTTGAAATCATCTCTTCTCCCTGAGCCTTAGACCCATTCTGACAGTCTCCTAGATCCGGCCACGGAATCCTTGCACTAGTCCTGTTATTGATTATGGGCTCTCTCTCAGCTCCTGTTCGGTTTTCTGTTCAAGCTGTTGGAACCAGCATGAACTCTAAATCTGGACAGGATTCCACGCTCTGACCCCCTCGACAGTGGAGTTCGGGACGTGATCCAAATCACCCATGCAGCCCACCCCGCCCTCCAGTGCTTCATCCTGAAAATGCCAGTTACTGAGCCTTTCCAGTCCTTTCTCCAAGACTCATCCCCCACTCCCAGCTTACTCCACCCAGACTCATGAAAAGATCAGTATTTTCACCTCGATTTGACAGAGACAAGGGCTGAATTCATGAGTTATTTAAAGGAGAGAGTGTTAAAAAGTTAGTTAAGAGAAAAATGATGGAGAAAGGGTCAAAGGAAACCAGTCATCCAACCGAAGATGGGCCATTCTTGACATGGAACAAAAATAACAGCATTGAATTTAAGGGGAAAAAAGATTAAGAAGAATGAAAACTAATCTCTATAACTAATACTCAAAAGCCGGGTTGTAGAACAATTATAAAGTTATATTCTAAGTATTATTCAACGTGGGCACATCTTGAAAAGCTCTCCCAATCTCACCCGTTTCCCTCCATTTACTTGGAAAAATTAACACTGTTCTGGCATCAAGCACCGCCTCCCTTCTGAGCCTGGTCCCAGGCAAACAGAAGTATGAACAAGGCTCTCATCTAGCCTGATGGGTTATAGCAATTCTCAGATTCTATGTAATGTTTTGCTGGCCTGTCCTCCCTCCAAGTTCCTTTAGCACTTCTTTGGACTATGTCTTTGATCTTTGCATCCTCACTACCTGGTACAATATTAGAAAATTATTCTTCTAACATATATGTGCTTATATTTCAATCACAGCACATGTCTGCCTCTGACTGCAAGCTCTGAGGACAAACGTATTTGATTTATTTCTATCTTCATAAGCCACAGCCTAATACATAATTGATGTACAGTAAATGCTTGTTTAATTATAATAAACCTAGCTCTTATTAATTCATTACTCACACATCAATTCAGCAAACATTCTTTGCTCTCCAACTATATAAGGTGCCACCCACTAGGCCCAGGTGACACAAATAAGAAAGAAAACAATCCTGCCTTCAAGGTGTTCACCGTCTACCTGTATTCCACCTATGAGCTACTGAAGCACCACATAACTGAAACTGCAGGGAAACAGGTGAAAACTTGACAAACGAACGCTGATCATGGAGCACAGAATCAAGATCTGCACTGTCCATCATTTTCCAACAAGACGAAATCGAGATCCGTAGTCCTTACGTCTGACTCGGCCCCCAAAGGTAGTCTTTTGCCTAAATTATTACAGGTATTATATCTTCCCATCAACTGAAATGTTTCTAATAGCATAAGGGTTAAAAACTTGAATCCTAGAACCAGAACGCCTGGGTCTAACCCCAAGGCTAGCACTTGTTATTTCTGTGACTTTGGACAAGTCACTCAACCTCACTGCCTGAGTGTCCTCCTCTGCAAAGTGAGAGTACTGCGCGTATCCGCTTTAGAACAGTACCTGACACATGGAATTGGCTGGTTTTATTATGATTCCCTCTACCACCGAAGCCACCCCTCCAAAACCGCCTCAGAGCTCTTTTTCCCATATGTGTACCAATTTATTTTGAAACAAAAATTCTGGAAAAGAGGTAACAGAAGGCCATTTTCCTTTGATAATCAGAAAGGTACCCATTTTGCACGTCACCGGGATGAAAAGAAGTCTGCCTATTAATTATGGTAGATAACTACTGGGTTGATAACAAACATTGCCAACTAGCCCAGAGGACCCCAGCCCACCCGCTCTCAGCACATGACCCCACAGGTGACAGGCCCAGTGCTAGGAACCCCATGAGGACTGGCCAATCCAACCTCTTCCTTAGGAATTGGGAGCTGAGGCCAGTCCTGTGACATGTTCTCAGAAGCTGCTCTGTGGACCGGAAGTCAAGATGGCTGGTCTGCAGTGAGCAGAGGTGGCAGTGGGGGTGCGGGAGAAGGAAGAAAGTGGTCCAGATGCTGAGTCAGTCTTGGGACCGCTGTTTCTAGGGCCAGCTGCAGCCCTGCCTTTACAATCTGTCAGATGTTGCTGACCATTTGCTTAAACGACCTCTGGTCATAATCATTGCTATAAAGGTAACAAACAAATGGAAACAACTTTCTATATCTAATAATACCACGTCTCAACAGAAGATGAAAGTTAATTTTCTAAGAACTAAGATAGAAGACATGCAGAAGTCTGTGATTACAGATCACTATCCAAAGCTATATTTACGACGCTTTAATCTATGAAAAAGAGCCTTCAATTATTAATCCGAAATCACAAAACACAGGCCAAGGTTGCTATCGGTCACCTCCGTGATGAAGATGCCCTTCCTTCTGAATGGATCATGATTAGTGGCATTACCGCCTCAGAGCTCTTTTTTTCCATTCAGAGAGAATGGAAAAAATAAATATGTGACTGTCAACGGAAATGTTATTATATAACCTACATGAAGGTCATTAGTCTGCTTGCAAAATTCTTCATAATCCTGGTCGAAATCCATTTTCCGCTGGTCTAAGAAATTATATTCCTTTTTCTTTATGGTGGCAACAATACCCTGAAATATTATGAAAGAAATAATACAATATTTCAATATTCTTGCATTACTTAATTAAATATAACCTTTAAATGTAGAACCTGAAAAATCATTACCAAAAAAGCAACTTAAAAGAGGCCCATTTCTTTAGTTACATAGCTTAATGCTTATTACAGCAGTATAATGTTGCCTATTGCATTACAAGAAAACATTTGGAAAGCGTTCTCATGAGGTTTTATATGTTTTTAAAGGAAAATATAAAATAAAGATCACATCCGAAAAAGTAGGAGTGTTTTCTCTAAAAATGTCTTATCAATCACATCTGAAATAATAAAAACGAAGCCCAGAGTAGCAGTTAATAAAATATTTTTCATTGAAAAGTCTGACTTCTCAGAAAATAAATAAGACAATAGAACACAAACTTGGGAAGAAAATAGTTATGTTATAATATCTACAGGTGAAATACTATCTTCTAAGCCTCAAGTGTCTTAAATAAAATGTCAGACCACCATCCACCATCCAAAGACTCACTAGAATTAATTGCTTCCTCCTGCCCTGCAAAGCTGTAGTCCATGAGTACAAGAGTACAAATTAGGCAATTTATCTCCTTGAAAACTGTATTACCCACCGTTTTGTTTGCTCTGAATAATGAGCTATAATGCTCTGTGATTATTCTTAACCAGGTACTAAGCCATTCACAAACTCAGGAGCCCACACTGTTGACACAGGCATATAATTTTTATGAAGAATGTTAGGCCTCTGTCTGCAATCTCCTCTTCAAAGTCATTTCCATTTACACATCGATTCAAATCTCTCAATAGACAAACATGTATAAACTGCTTAACTTCTTGAATCAAGTTTACTAGTTAAAACAATCTACTCTTTCATGCTGCATAACTACAAAATTAGTTCTATTTAGAAATTGTGTGTATGTATAAATGCTACTCATCGTGTTATAAGAAATGTGTAAAAAAGTATGAAAAAGTTATACTTCCATATTTAAATATGGTAATTTAAAAGATCAGAAGTCCTTAGAAAATTCTGTTCTATGATTGGATTTTTTCTTGTTTTTTCTTTTATTAAATTTATTGGGGCGACATTGGTTAATAAAATTATAGAGGTTTCAACTGTACAATTCAATAATATGTCATATGTATATTGCGTTGTGTGTTCACCACCCAAAGTTAAATTTCCTATCGTCACCATATATTTGTCCCCCTTTACCCTTACCTACTTCCCCTACACTCCCCTCCCCTCTGATAACCACCAAACTGTTGTCTGTGTCCATGATTTAATGGTCACTGAAGAGTACTGATTTAACTAAACTGATTAACTGTGACTTTTGAGCCAACTAATGAAACTCAGTCTACATCCCTTACCTGACAGATGTTTACTGCACACCTATTACGTGCCAGTAAACTCTGAAGACACAGGAATGAACAGAACAAACAGATGTCCGCACCCTGGGGGAACTTAAATCCTTGGTTGGGGAGAGAGAGTCAGAATCTATGTGAGTCACAAATAAATAAGCAGGATAATTTTAGACAGGGATAAAATGAGTAACGTGACAAAGAGTGATTGAGGTGAAACAGAAGTCAAGGAAAAACTTAAATAAGGGTCATTTAAATCAAGATCTGGAGGACAAGGGGGAAATAACTGTGTGATAATCCAGGACAGAACTTTCCAGAAAGAAAGCACTGCGAGCCGAAGGCGGACTGAATCGTGTCTGGGATAGAAGAGGAAGAGGAGAGCAGGCAGCAGTGACGGGGCCTTGACAGCCAGGTGAGGAGGCTGAGATCCATTTTCGTAGACACTATTTTGAGTTTCTGACATTTACACTAACGTACGAATATCTCACCTGAAGTTTTCATGCATTGTCTACATTTTACCTCACTATCCTCCAGGATGCTTTGAGTTTCAAAGCAATTTCTCTTCCCGATATTTGTATGAGATTAAAATATCTTTTTATCGGGTTTAAATGTTTTTATCTTCCTTTGGATGGACAGTTCAACTTCTCATTCAGAAATAAACTTCAGAAATATGTTCCAAAGTTATTTTTTCATTAAGATAGAAAATAAGTTCCGGATTGAAAAATAAATGGATATATTCCCTCTTCCTCTTGTAAAATTGTAGGCTTCAAAGTGTAGATTTTCTACCTTGCAGGTTACACAGATTCACCTAAAATGTTTCCACTATATAAAAAAGGTCTTTCCTTTTTCTCTCCCAAATCTGGTGTACTCAGGAAATTAAAAAGACTCTTTATACTGGCCTAAACTATTAAAGCACAAAAAGCAATGTGTGGCAATAAATTATATGATCCTTTTCAAATACAAAAAAAAAAAAGCAATTTTAGTGTCACTGTCCCTAAACAAGGAAAAACTTGGCTATTCTGCACTAAGAAGTTAAAACACATTTTCTTTGTAAATGGCTTTTTTAAAATCTTCAAAACATCACTAGATCATAGTGCCCATTTTAAGACCTAAGATTAGTCACACATGTACCCTGAAAAGATAAAGTAGCTAAAATCAAAATAACTAGGAATGGTAGAGCTAAAATAAAATTCAGTTCCTTTTATTTTTAACACGTATCCAAATAAAATGCTTAAATCCAGAGACAATCTGATGCCACGCAGAACTCAGTGTCCACTCGTGTCTGACGCACAGTATTTGCTTCGTTGCCTGATGCATAGTATTTGCTTATTAGACATGTCTTACATGAATAAAGGGATAAGTTATAGTTAAACATTCTCCTGTGCTACTCATGAAAACGCTTTTACTAATGATGATTAATTTCACACTATTGGGAAGTCATTCTCATAACCATACACCTGAAAAGAACATATTAGCACCAATACATAATCCTCAAGTAAACTTAATTTCTCTATGATTTAAGGGCCACAAGCTTATATTTTACATTATGAACTATCTGAATCATCCCAAACATAATTATTTGCATAAAATGTCAACATTTTAGTTATGGATAAGAGTAATGAATTTAGTTTTAAAGTAAAATACCTGGTATTTAGTGACCATGTCCTCCAGCCCTTCGATTTTAGACTCTTGCAGAACTGAATATGTCTTAAAAGTCGTAAAGATGTCTATTATCTTGGCAAGACGTCGATGGAAAGTTTCAAATTTTCCAAAAATGTACATCTCGCTAAATTCAAACTGTTTTTCATTTGGATCTTGTTTGAGCTTTTGTTTCATCTTGTGAAAGCAGTCCTGGTATTCCTGACAATGAAACACCAAAACAGAAGAAAGGAAACCACCAGAGACATTGACTGTGTTCCCCTAAAGTGAGGGTGGCGGCGACGTCAGAGTGGAATGGCAAACCCTTCCACTTTCCTGCCTTAGAATTTCCTCATCCTGCAGCCTGGAGTATCACCTTTCCCTCTTCCCACCTACCAAACTCCTGATTGCTCATAATGCAACTCAGAGACGCAGGCTTTGCACCTCGGTCCCATCTTGTTGGGAACAGCCTCACTCTGTGTCTACCTCCCCATTCGCCCGTAAGAAGCTTAAGGAAAACTATCTCACCTTAGTCCTCTTTGTACCTTCGGTACTTAGTATGGCATCGGGAGAGCAGGTCCCCAGAGAGGACGGAATAAGTGGATGAATTTTCTAGGAAGGCTTATTAACATTCAATTTTCTTAACAGAAATAAGTACTGTTCTTTTTGGCAACCGACGATATAATTGCTAAATAATTTAGGACTCGTCGGCAAAAACGATGGACATAATGAAACGTGTTCCAAATACATTATTGGGCTGGCAGTTACCTGTTTAAGTTTAATTGCGGATAATATTTTTTCCACAACAACATCCTGAGGCTGGCTCCACACGGACGCGGTCCCATTGTTGGTGATGTAAGCTTTACACGCAGATATCATCTGATTGGTCACCTGGAGTTTTCCAACGAAACGATGTTACGCACACTAAACAGCCATCAATTATAAATTGGACTATAGGGTCTTTAACTCTTCTACCTCTCAGAGTATATGATCTGTGAACTTGAACTTTGGATTTATTTGTTTCCATAGCACTGATGATCAAGCACTAGCCTTTTTTTATTTTATTTTTTTTTGGCTTTATTGAGATATAATTGACAAATGAAAATCATATATGTTTAAGGTGTACAATGTGATGATTTAATATACCTAGTGAAATGATTACCACAATCAAGTTAATTAACATCCATCACATCACATAGTTATTTTTCACATATGCAGTGGGAGCATTTAAGATCTGCTCACTCAGCAAATGTCGAGTATACAATACAGTATTATTATTATTAACAATAGTCTCCACGCTTACATTAGGTCCCCAGAACTCACTCATCTTATAATTGTCAGTCCTTTTGACTGACATCTCCCCACTCCTCCCGCCTCCCCAGCCCCTGGCGACCACCATTCTCTTCTCTGCTTCTATTTATTTGACTTTTTTAGATTCCACAGATATACTGTCAAAGTCATTTGCGAAATCACAGAGTTGGAAGCAACGAAAAAAATCAGCAATTCTGGCCCCTTGTGGATGCAGGACGAATGTCTTAACCAACCAAGAAATGATTCCCTTTTAGCCTAAAAGGTGTCGGGAGCTGCCCCGATCTCCTTCGGTAGCTTGCTCTAACATCTAACTCACAGTTTCAAAGTGCCCGGTGAAAGACTGACACCCGGACCACTTCACGCCACCATGACCTGTAGCAGAAAGGCCAAAAGAAGGTGGCAACAGAGAAAAGAGCAAAACTAATAATGTAGGTGACCGCTAACATTGTATTCATCCCTCCAAACTTAAAAAAAATTAAAAATAAATAAAATAAAGTTCAGAATTTTCCAGGTGATATTTTTTTAGAAATTAAAAAGAAAATTAGATGACTTCTGTGTGTATGGATATGATGGCTGGGATTTGCAATGCGAAGGTTGAGAGCATAAGCTAAACGAGATTGGTCATGTGTTGACAGTTGCCGAATCTGCAAGACATGTACACAGGGGTTTCAGGTATATGATTCAAAATGTCCATAATGTAAGGTTTTTGGGATTTAGATAAATGGCAGTTTCACAATTTTCTTCAAAAACCAAGACCTGCAAATAACATGCATGAAACCTAGAGTCATGATGCAAGTTGACTTTTGAGTCTCTTACCCAGAAAACTTCCTACGTGACTTCCTCCAACATGCAGTTCTAAAGTGTGAAGAAGTTGGGAAAGGGTCTCGTGGCGTTACCTCCTTTCTAACGAACATGAGAGCAGAAGGAAGAGTTTCCTGTTGTGCCCTCGAGGCTGGATGTCCCTATTCCCAGGAAAAATCATGACTCCTACTGCATTAGTATTCAAGACATAAGTCCTGATGAGTTGAAAATTCCTCTATTTTAATATGACATTTAAAACTTCTGCCTTGGTAATGAAAAAGTCATTTACTTCTTAGAGGCCATTCATTCGTAACAGGAAAAGCAACAGAGCTCACCGCGAACACTTAGGAGTCAGGACATAAGGTTTAAACGTCATTATATTTTTTGGCAGAATCATTACAATTGCTTTATGGGTTACCAGAACATTGCAAGTGGCTTTTAGTACCATGATTACAGTCCTAATAATACCAAGAAAACAACTGTGGCATCGAATAGATTTGGTATAGTGGCATATAAAATACGAAACAGGAAATAGTTCAATATAGTTTTTCTTAATTAAAATTTACCCAGTGGGAATAAATAATGTGCCAAAAAAAATAGGGATTGAAATTTCAAAAAGAATCTTTTTTATTTTTACTATATAAATTACTCAATATTTATTATAATTATTACTTTGAGAAAGAATACTTTATGATTTGCTAGAATCAGCTTCTCACATAAATTTAATTCTATCTCTATTGAGAGATTAATCTTTTTTTTTTTTTTTGCAGTTGTAGCATAAATAGACATTGGATTGTGCTAATGTGGTAAAATTTGTAATTACCAAAGAATTGACCATTGGTAAAGAAATATAAGTGACCGTGGACTTTATGCTGTGCACTTACCTTTACAAACAGCGATGTGATCTTCTCAGAGGTGTTATAGTAATGAGAGATACTATAGATCATTTTAATTGCATTTATAAGTGTAGGAATAGCATCGATCATGGATATCTTGAACAAAACACAAAAGTTTTCAGAGAAACAAATATCAAATTCAGCAAAATTTTAATAGTTCAATCATTCAATTTTCATTAAAATAAAGTTTAGCTACAATTTTTACTTAAATTTTTAAACTATTATGTAACGCTTTACATAAATATATTTAAGGGTAATTTTATTGTTTAGTCATATGCAGTTAAGCAAATTTTACTTCAATGCAAGAAACATTAACTTTCTACTAATAACAAAGAGGCTGTATTAACAGTCAATTTTGTAATCAATAAAAGCAGGTACTTTCTAAAGTTAAAAGATTAAAAGACACCATCTAATGATGTTTCCCACAGTTCACTGAGTGTAGCCCATGTCAACTGCAATATTCAATGAAATATGCAAGTTTTTAAAATATAACATCACACATACATCAATAGACAGACAGACATGTGTATATACATAAAATTTTCTCAAGAATAAAAAGAGATTTCTAAGACTTTCCCAACAGACTGTAATATCTACAAACCAAAACTCCACACTCAATTCAGCTGGCACAAAAGGGCCATAAACAGGCTAAGGGAGTAGAAATCTTTAACTTACAGGGTCACTGCTGTACAAGGGGTCACAGCATTTTTCAAGTGTGTACAAATATTTGACATTGTCCTTCGCTTCATTAGATGCATCAGTGATTCGAATATCCATCTCCCGCCAAGTCTAAGCACAGTACAGAGAAGCGATTTTAATGTAATTATTAATAGAGGAACTTCCAACATAATAGCTTTCAGAGTCATCACAAGTCCTTTAGGTCAGACTTTCGGTTCACCCTGCACGTCTTGCATAAAACTGAATCCAGAGGGATGAAGAACACTGCCACACTGAAGAACAACTTTAAATTTTTGACTAAGTTTAAAGGTACCTCCCCCAGGCCTTCTCTTATAAAATCTACTCAATAACTAAGAAAGAGCTTCAAGAGGTACCATTTCCCTTTCGGCCCACACCTTCTCTCTTCCACTGGCTACTGGATCCACTTTGCATCTCACTCCCATATTTTCCATCTTCTCTCTATTCTAACCTGAAATTCCTTTTCCCTATATACCTATGCTTTTGTTCATCCATTAATGAAGCAATTATTTATTAACTGTCAACCACATGCCAGGACTGTGCTGTGAGCAAGAAACTTCATAATGGCAGGACATCCAAAAGTGGGAGAAGTGAAAAAAAGATGATTCAGCACAAGCCAACACGTTCAATTGACTTCGTGGAAGTCCTACTGATAATATTTCTAAACGATATTGCAATGAAATGATCGCATTTCTTTGAGCAATGATATAAGGAAAATCTAAAGCACAGGTATTGAAACAAATTATTATTATTTAAACTATTTTCATAGATTGAAACATCCATGCAAATCATTAATAAATAGTCTTTATGGCACCAATGCCAGGTGTGCTAGGCACACCTGTCCCCAATGATCACTGACTCTTGGTATTCATATTCTTGTGTTACCCCTGCACTTGATCATGGGCTGAATCTGACGATTCACTTCTAATAAACGGAATGTGACAAAAATGATGGGAATTCACTTCTGGGATAAATTTATCAAAAGACCGTGGCTTCATAACATGTATAACCATGTTACCTGCAATACCTTCTAATAATACACATACATACAGGTACATCAGCCAACAAATATCTTTAATTCAAAGGCTATTTCCACACCAATTATGAAAGAGCAACATTAACGAGTCTTAAATTTTTTTTCATGAAGGTATAATGACATTTTTTTCTGTTCCCAATTACTCTATGACCTGAAATATTCCATGACATGAAATTCCCATACATTTCATAAAGCAAAAGAAAATGGCCGACAACCTTCAGAAGTTTCGACTTGGCAGCAGCAAGAACCGCCAACACAGCCTTCACGTCTGGGCTTTTCAGTTGATCCAGAAGGTAGTTGAATGTGGACAGTCTCTTCTTCCAGTGCTCCAGCTCGGCTCGGGGCCCGAGGTCATCCGCCTCCTTCCGCAGCTGGTTGTTTTCAGCGAGGACCTGCGAATGCACAGGACAAAGAAGCACCGTGTATGGCTGGAGAGATAAGCATCATATGTAGGCAAAAAATGAGTAAAGAAGTAAATGACGCTATCCAAATCACGCTATAGTTTTATTCATTTGTCTGCTTTGAATGATGGCCTTTTACTAACTTAGCATGCACCCATTTTTTAAACTTCCACGACAATTTAGTTGACTTGTTCTAACTGAAAACTACTCATTTAAGGAAACTTACTGAACTTTGGGAGGACGTGACCTCAAAGGTTTCCGCGTGTATTCACCTACTGCAAGACTGCAAAGCAATGTCACCCCTATTACGTTGCTTCATTTCATTTGCGCTCATTTTTTGATGTAATGTCAACCTTTTCTTAAGACTTTTCTGAAAATATTTTTTTTTTTTAGGTGAGGCAACCCTTGGTTGACCTCACAGATTGCAAGGACCTTGTCAGCTTACAATCTCTTTTTTTTTTTTACACCTACAGCACCTGGTCTTCCTAGGTGGTCTCCCATCCAAGTACTAACCAGGCCCAACCCTGCTTAGTTTCCCAGATCAGACGGGATCGGGCTTGCTCAAGGTGGCATGGCCGTAGGCTTGAAAATATTATTTTAAGGTTCAGTCTCGAGCTCCCTTTCGGAGGACTCACTGAATTAGAAAACTCTATTTCTAAAGGCGTCTTCATCAAAGTAAATTATATTTTGAGAAAAAAAAATAGCAAAGGGCTGTCCTCTAGTTATGTAAGTATAAAGAATCATTAACTTTCATCTCTTAGCATTCTTATATCTCTTCTTAATGACTATAAATTAAAACCATGTGAACCTCTCACCTTTTCAGGTAAGTGGTAAAATACTTAGGCAAATGGGAATGGCATATGATATACCTTCTTCCATTGGTTAGTTCAATAACGTGGCATCTGGAACTGACGTTTGTTTTCTGGAAATTACCTGTTCTGTCTGTTTGATCCATACTTTCATACAACCTTCTATTTTTTCCAGAGTCTCGGGGTTATTAGCTAGCGTCAGGTAGTCTACTGGCTCCTTCAGGGTTTTCAATTCAAATATGTCACACTTTTGAAGGTTCACCTAATTAAAATGAAAATTAAATAATAAGGTGATGCTTTTTAAGCACGCACGCACACACACACACACACACGCACGCACGCACGCACACACACACACACTTCTGGTTGACCCCTCGGCTGAGAAGGATCTTCAGGGGACCTTCTGGTCTACACCACTCTGCCCTCTGAAGAAAGATCGCGAAAGCACAGTGAAATACGAAATGCCCAATTCCGCCACACACTGAGCACACCACTGCAGAAGATGGAGTCTGAGGTCAAAGTGTGGGTCAAGAAGAGCAAAAGACTGAACTAGACAGAAAGAGAGTTATAACATCACAGAATCTGGGAATTAATAGGGAACTTGGAAATTAAAAAGTCAACTCATAAAACCAAAGAAAGCAGGGACGCTTCCAAGAAATTGATAGGGGGGAGGAGTAATTTCTCATCCATCATTCTTTTTTTAAAAATACTAACCGGAGAGAAAGGCTCTCATGTCCTTACCCAATAATGTCTTTAGAGTTAGCAAGTTCAATGGCAAACTCGCGAATTTGCTTTTTATTTGGGGAAGAAGAGGGCAGGGAAGGAGGTATGTTGGATTTCGACTTGACAATGAAACCTCATGTATTTTTAAACACACAATATAAAATGGAAATATTAATAATAAATCAAATCAAATCAAAATATTGATTTAATGAGGCCGTTTTCCTTACGGTAAATGTGCACCTGGCACCGCGAATCTCTAAATTCAAGTCTCAGGCTCAAGCCCACTTTACCAGCAACAGAGCTAATGTGTTTCTCTCAGTCGGCTCAGAACCAGCATGAAAGGGTGTGGGTTTTTCACCCTCCAACACCAACATGGCCAAGGAGCCATGAAGTCCAGGCCCTAAGGGCTTCTTGGTAAACCAAGGGAAAACCAGAAAGCACGCTAGATGCAGAAGGCAGAAGGTGCAGGCTGGGGAGTGGAGGGCACCGGATGCTGGGGGCTCACGCTGCTCCCTTCAAACCAGCCTGTGGGATGAGGCTGAGCCGCTGCCCCCAGTACCAGCTATAAAGGGACACTGCAGCACCTGAAGAGCCCTTCAAGGTTTCCTGTTTCTGTCACTTGGCATCCTAATAACATCCTGCCAGCACTGACCTCTACTAGGCCCTAGTCCTGGCCCCCCAAGTCCAACCGTGGTCAGAGGCTCTTCATCTATCCCACCCAAATGAGGCTCAGAGCATTGCCCTGTCCTGCCTGCACCTGACCTTGGCACTTGGCATTTTTCACACTGCTCCCCTCTGACAGAGCTCTGAAAACCCGCCGGGGCAGTGCATGCCTCCACACCCCTGTGCCTTGGCTCATGCTGCCCCAGAACGGAAGGACTTCCCAGCACACCTGTACTCCCGACTCCTCCCACTCTGCACGGTCCACCTGCCACACCTAGACGACTCCTCAGTTTCATGGGGAGGGCTCTGGGCTTCAAGAACTGACACTACCTACGTCCTGTGTGGGAATCCATCCCAGTTTTTTCAATACCTCTGCTATAAAATGAAGTGAAATCATATGAAAGCGTGGCTTTTTTAGGTAGAGTAATAATTTAATTTGGTTCCACTTGTATTTTACTATGGCCGGAATCATAGTTGTTAGTATAACTCAGAAGTTGGCTGCAATTGTCCTGCGCCGGTCTACATGGAATGTGTTCAACTCCCCCATTCTGCATCCTTTAGGGAGCCCGCCTCCCTCCATCCCCGCCCCGCCCTCCCAGTATCCCAGTAGGTCTCAGTAGGTCTCAGTGTTCCCTGGAGGAGGGTGAGTGTTCTACTGTCACTGGTATCACGTAGGCCCCCTCTTTCC